TTTCCCCAGCTTTTGCTACTATAAACAACACTTAGAGGAACATCCTTTAGCTAAATCCTTAGACATATCTTTAATCACTGTTTTAGGAAAAAACCCTAGAAGATGAATTGCTGGATCCAAAAGCATATTTGTATGGCCGTTGATATTTGTCACTTGTCAACTTGTCTTCCTTTTCATGCAACTCAGGAGTTGCACAAATGCCTATGGTTCCCCTTGCCCTTGTGTCATCTCCTTTTGGCCCCATTAAAATATGCACCAGAGGACACCTGAGGTCGGGAGTTCGAGACCAGCCTGGCCAACATGGTGAAACCCCGTCTCTACTAAAAATACAAAAATTAGCCGGGCTTGGTGGCACAGACCTATAATTCTAGCTGCTCAGGAGGCTGGGACAGGAGAATCGCTTGAACCCAGGAGGTGGAGGTTGCAGTGAGCAGAGATCATGCCACAGTACTCCAGCCTGGATGAGATGGCAAGATGCCATCTCAAAAATAAATAAATAAATAATTAAACAAAACAAAACAAAACAAAACCATGCACCAGGGACTGAAACTGGGGTATGAGCAGCATCCCAGACCCTGACCAAGCCATAAAACTGTTTGTAAAGAAGCCACCAGACAAGGCTTAGAGGTGCTGCCTAGGCAACCAGAAAACAGGGACCTCTGCCAAATCCACTCTCCCCTCCACAGGCCTCTCTCCAAGCTGTTCTCCTAGTCATTTTCATCACAATTTTGGCAGCTTCTTTCTACTTATCAGAAATTTAAGAGCAGAGAATTAAATTCAAGTCCCGCATTACTAAGCTTTGTTATTTTTGCAAAGTACACGTTGTACATTCAGTGGCACACTGCAAAGCATTATCATGAATTATTTAAATGAAACCATCCTTGTCACAATAAATGAGCAAAACACATTTTTTCACTTTCTTCTTACATGTTGTTATTTCTCTTCACGGATTTCTTACTTTGCAACATTAACTAAAATATGATGAGGCCCGCAATGTCATTACTACAAACTACCCTACCTTAGTTCTGCTGATCATGTATTTTTTTTTAATGTGACAGAAGCATTTTTCTTTCTTCTTAAGATTCATTATACTCAAATGTGTCCTTGTAGCAGCATAGAATAGGAACAAATATGAAATATGTATAACCAAGGTTTACTTTTGGAAGTAATTCATATTCAATTCTCATTTGCTTTGCTGGGATGGAACAATAGATGCTGTGAGGTGGGAAGGTAGTAGACATGAAAATCTAAAGATACTGAGACCCTTCTTTGGAAAGGAGGCCAGAAACATTTCTGTTTTGCCTCATATTTTATTAATCTATTTTATAACTCCAAGGAAATGAGAATAAAACTTATCTCAAAGGCTAGCAAAATGATCCTAAAGTCTCAGGCAATGAGGACAGTAATTGATTAGAGATTAGCTGTTCTTGGCATTGCCACAGTCTTGTTCAGCTTGAATGTTAATCTCTAAGGAAATTACAGTTATTACCTGTGCTTTATTGTTGATACTGACAAGATCCTCAAGTGACACTTCTGTCTGTGGATACTACATGCTACCAGTACAGGCCCGACTCCATTCTTTGCCCCTGTTTACACACACACACACACACACACACACGCTCTCTCTCTCTCTTTCCTTACAACAGCATGCAAACAGGTTCATTTTATGCCACTCTGTTTCGTCTCAGGATGTGACAAGGCTACATGGACAGGGATTAAAAAAACAGCAGTGACTTAAGGCCAGGGGAGGAGGAACACAGAAAATAAATCAGCAATCATTAAAACTTGGAACTGAAGCAAACTTTAAAAAAAATATTTTGGCCACTTAAAAAAAACTTTTCATTTTGCAATAATTTTTAACTCACAGAAAAGTTGCAAGAATAGTACAGATAATGTCTTTATCCCTTTTACCTGGACTTCCTCATTTAGTTAACATTTTCATAGTTATGGCTGGGCACAGTGGCTCACGCCTATAATCCCAGCACTTTGGGAGGCCAAGGCAGGCGGATCACTTGAGCTGAAGAGTTCGAGACCAGCCTGGGCAACATAATCAAACCACATCTCCACTAAAAATACAAAAAAATTAGCCAGGTGTGTGGTGCATGCCTGGAGCCCCAGCAATTTGGGAGGCTGAGGTGGGAGGACTGCTTGAGGCTGGGAAGCACAGGTTGCAGTGAGCTGAGATCGTGCCAATGCCCTCCAGCCTGGGTGACAGAGCCAGGCCCTGTCTCAAAAAAAAAAAAAAAGTTAACAGTTTAATAGCTAACATTTTACCATTTTTGCCTTATTACTTAGAATCACTTGAGAGTAAATTACAAACATGATGCCCATTACCTTAAGGTTGTCAATGTGTTTCCTAAAACACAAGGTGTATACACTGCTGAAAAATCAAAGTACATCCAGCATTACCAGGAAATCAGCACTGATACAACACTACATCCACCCCGCAGACTCCATTCCCATACTCCTGATTGCTGCAGCAATGTCCTTTATAATCACACTTTTCCTTTTGGTCCAGAATCCAGCCCAGGGTTATCTACTGTATTTAGTTTCCATGTCTCTAGATCCGCCTTCAATGTGGAGCAAATGCTCAGGTTTTCCTTGTCTCTTATGACTTCATACTTTTGAAGAGTACAGGCCTGCTGCTTTGTCAAATGACCCTCGATTTCTGGTTGGGTGATGGTTCCTCAAGATGACGTTCAGTTTATACCTTCTTGGCAGGAACAGCGTGGAAATGATGCTGTGTTCTCTGTGGATTGCATGGGGGGGCATAGCATGTCAATTTGTCCCACAGCTGGTGATTGTATCCCTTGGTTAAGATAGTTAATTATTAAGTATTTTGTACTTAATTTATATTTAATAAATAATTTAAAAGTATTTGATTAATTTTAAAGTAATCAAAAACTATTTTAATCTATGTAAATATCCTGTTTCTTATCAAGCTTCACCCGCTAGTTTTGGCATTCATTAATCATTCTTTTTTTTTTTTTTGAGAGGGAGTTTTGCTCTTGTCACCCAGGCTGGAGTGCAGTGGCGCGATCTCTGCAACCTCTGCCTCCCGTGTTCAAGCAAATCTCCTGCCTCAGCCTTCCGAGTAGCTGGGCTTACAAGCGTACACCACCATGCCTGGCTAACTTTCATATTTTTAGTAGAGACAGGGTTTCACCACATTGGCCAGGCTGGTCTCAAACTCCTGACCTCAGGTGATCCACCCGCCTCGGTCTCCCAAAGTGCTGGGATTACAAGCATGAGTCACTCATTAATGATTCCTATTTGAAGCAATTATTAATATGATGGCCTCCAAGCGGTGATTTCCTAATTTCTTAATTCCCTCTGCATGTATTAATTGGTGTTCTGTTATGAGGTAGTTTTCCTTCTCCCCTATTTATTCATTCATTCATGGGTATATTTATATCAGTATGGACTCAGGAATGCCTATTTTATTCAATAGGCTATATTACATTAATTATTTGCTTTGAAACTCAAATTGTTCCATATTTTGCCGGTGGGAGTGACTTTATTAATAAATTGGCTTCTGTATTCTTTTGGTTAAGTACTTCCTTATTTTCTGGTGTCAAGATATTCCAGACCTATCTTATACTTTCCTTGTCCCTACCCTGGTATCAGCCATTTCTCCAGTAAATTCTGGTTTATTTTATTAGGAAATGGAATTGAGAAACCAATATCTGAGTTTATGGTGTGTTCATTGCTTTTGGGATGTCATTGCTTTTAGGTGCTCTAAGATGAAATATATGTACACACGTGTACATATACAGCCATCTGTCTCTATTTGTGTATCATTCATTTATATACATATTTTAAAACATGAGATTTTACCGTGATATCTCCAATTTCTCTCCAACTCCATATAGATTAGTCTAGCTTTCCTCCTTTACATATTTGTAGATCCTTTTTCCAAAAGTGAGAAACCTAGCTCCCATAATCTTCAAATCTTTCCCAACCCCCTGTAAACAACCGATCTTCCAGCCATTCAGAAGCCATCGTCTCCTTCTCCCATTCTGCACATGGCTATTGCCCCACCGAGTCTCTCCGCACTCTTCCCGTAGCCACGCCAGGCTGAGCAAACCCTCTTACTGACCCGTAATAGCACATTATTCTTTTCTATACCTGCTACCCATTCGGGACAAATGATTGGCATTTCAGAATATGGCCAGCTTTGTGTCAAAAGAAGGATTAAATACATCACATAATATAATGTGTCAGCTCCAGTGGGGAAGAGAATTTGGTCTTATAATAGAGGCAGCCACTCAAAGGGAAAAAGAAATTTCTTCTAGAAGCACTGGTCTAAAAAAGCAAAAAAGTCCACACACAAGAAAATCTCAGTGAATATATCTTTGCTTTGAATCTCAACTCCATTAAAAATCTTGGGTTCAGTTTTAAATTGATAGTGAAAAGGTTTTATAGTCTTTTTCTGTTGAAAATCACACCAAACTAGGTTTACTCGAAGACTGTTTTCTTCCTGTAAATTTTAGATATTCTTGTTATTTGTCTTCCTTTTTAGAATGGATAATTCAAAGCGAATACTTTTTTTTTTTTTTTTTTTTTTTTTTTTTTGAGACAGAGTCTCACTCTGTTGCCCAGGCTGGAGTGCAGTAGCATGATCTTGGCTCACTGCAAACTCAGCCTCCTGGGTTCAAGTGATTCTCCTGCCTCAGCCTCCCGAGTAGCTGGTATTACAGGCACGTACCACCATACTCAGCTAATTGTTCATATTTTTGGTAGAGACAGAGTTGTGCTGTGTTGGCCATGCTGGTCTTGAACCCCTAACCTCAAGTGATCCGCTCACCTTGGCCTCCCAAAGTGCTGGGATTACAGACTTGAGCCACCACACCCGGCCTGAATGTTTTTTAAATCTAGATTTATGTTTTGTTAGGATTTTTTATAGGTAGAACACTGGAGGAAGATCAATGACTAATATTTATGCTTTTTAGTCAATTTTAGACATTAATGTTCTAAACTAAATTTCTCTTTCTTTTTAGGTTTGTCCAAGACTGGTTTTCAGAAAGGATGCAAGTGGCCAAAGTGGATTTCTCTACAGTGTTACCACGCTTCATTTCTCTATATATCTTTTCCTTTCTGAGTTCGAAAGATTTGTGTGCAGCTGCCCAAGTCAGCTGGTCCTGGAAGTTTTTAACTGAACAGGTTTACTATTTGTCACTTCCTAGTAATAGGGCACAAGTACAGCTGTAATCTTAAATGAGGCTAGTAGGGTAGCTCCCTTCCCTGAAGACAATAGCTGAGGGTACCTGATCCATCCCTTACCCTTGAGAGAAAAAATAGGGATAAGTGAAATAATGTATTTCTATAAATAAATAAGGCATATAGACTAGTCCAATAATTCCTGTTACTTAAAAAATCTTTAAATACTCAGTATAATTATTTAGAAAACATTTTATCTTGGTTAAAGAAGTTCACTTTCTTTTGAGACAGAGTCTCGCTTTGTCACCCAGGCTGGAGTGCAGTGGCGCGATCTCGGCTCACTACAACCTCCACCTCCTGGGTTCTAGCGATTCTCCTGCCTCAGCCTTCTGAGTAACTGCGATTACAGGCGCCTGCCACCACAGCTGGCTAATTTTTGTATTTTTAGTAGGGACGGGGTTTCACCATGTTGGTCAGGCTGGTCTCAAACTCCTGACCTTGGGTTCCGCTTGCCTCGGCCTCCCAAAGTACTGGGATTACAAGCGTGAGCCACCGCGCCCTGCCAAGAAGTTCACTTTTCTTCATGAAAAATGATTTATGCTTTAGATTTCATATATTATCTCCGATAACTCAGCTCTAGAAACTGCTACACAACCACAGCCTCAACTGATCCCTTATTGTCTAACATCTGTTAAAGAACATACATTGAGATCTTAACAGCAGTTGAAAGCAGTTAAAAGCAGCAGCTGTTTAAAATTAACATCTTTTGCCATTAATTCTGCCTCTGGGCTGTCCCTTTTCTTGTAAAATATTTAATAAAATGTAACAATACACATACTTTTTTTTTCAGAGACAGGATCTCATTCTATCGCCCAGGCTGGAATGCAGTGGTGCCATCTGGCTCACTGCAACTTCTGCCTCCCAGGCTCAAGTGGTCCTCCCATCTCAGCCTCTGGAGTACCTGGGACTATAGACATGCACCACCACGCCCAGCAAATTTTTGTAGTTTTAGTAGAGATGAGGTTTCGCCATTTGGCCAGGCTGGTCTGGAACTCCTAGGCTCAAGAGATCCACCTACCTCGGCCTCCCAAAGTGCTGGGATTACAGGCGTGAGCCACTGTGCCTGGCTTAGTCTGTTTATATTTCTGTAAACACTTACATATTTGTGTTTAATCCATCATTTTACTATTTTTTGTTTGTTGCATTTAGTTTTTTCCCTCTCCCTGTCTTCCTTTGCGTTAATTAAAATTTTTTTTTCAGGCCGGGCGCGGTGGCTCACGCCTGTAATCCCAGCACTTTGGGAGGCCAAGGCGGGCAGATCACGAGGTCAGGAGATCAAGACCATCCTGGCTAACACGGTGAAACCCCGTCTCTACTAAAAATACAAAAAAAAAAAAAAAATTAGCCAGGTGTGGTGGCGGGCGCCTGTAGTCCCAGCTACTTGGGAGGCTGAGGCAGGAGAATGGCGTGAACCCAGAGGCAGAGCTTGCAGTGAGCAGCGATCGGGCCACTGCACTCCAGCTTGGGCGACAGAGCAAGACTCTGTCTCAAAAAAAAAAAAAAAATTTGTTTTTTCAATTGTTAGATTCTTTAACAGTTATTTCATGGTTACCATAGAGATTATAACATATAACCTTGTATTAATATTATCTTACCATTTCTAAGACAATGCAAGGAGCTTAGAACCCTTTAACTTCATTTACCCTCCTCTCAGTTTCCATGCTTTTTTGTTAAAGATTTTTATTTTATATATACTAATAACTAAGAGCCTACTGTTGACCAGAAGACTTACTGATAACGCTAACAGTCAATTAACACACGTTTTGTATGTGTATTATATACTGTATTCTTCAATATGGCAAGCAAGAGAAAAGAGATTGTTATTTAAACATTCATGAGAAAATATATTTACTATTTGTTAAGTGGAAATGGATCATCATAAAGATCTTCATCCTCATGTTGAGTAGGCTGAGGAAGCTGAGGAAGAAGAGGAAAAGGAGGAGGAAGAGGAAGGGTTGGTTTTGCTGTCTTGGGGGCGGCAGAGGTGGAAGAAAGCGTGTATAAATGCACCCATGCAGTTCAAACCCGTTGTTCAAGGGTTAAGTGTGTAAAATAAACATATATAACACATAAACACTTATCTCACAAATCTTTATTACTATTGTTTTATGTAGTCAATATTTATTCATATATGACCATATTTTTTTCTGTAGCTCATTTTTTTCTGTTCCGCATCTCCTAGTTTCCATTTGGGATCATTTTCCTTTTACGTTCTATTTAATATTACCTCTAGTACAGGTGTGCTGCTGATAAATTCTCTTAGTTTTTGTGTGTCTGAAAATATCTATTTCATCTTCATACTTAGAAGATATTTCAGTAAGAAATCTGAATTCTAGGTTGGCAGCTAATTTTTTTATAGAACTCTGAAATATTTCATTTTTTTTTTCTTGAGAAGTCAAGTTTTATTGTTGATCCTTTAAAGGTAACATTTCTATCATCTCTAGCTGCTTTTCAGACTTTTTCTTTCATTTTCAGTAACGTTATTGTGATATACCTAGGTGTGAGTGTTTATGTACCTTGTTTTGTGTTTGGCTGTGATTTTTGAGTCTGAGACTTAATGTCTTTCATCAGTTTTGAAACATTCTTAGATGTTATTTCTTCATATTGATTCCGCCCCATTCTCTCCCTTTTTCTCCTAGTATTCCAATACTTATAGGTTGGAAAGATTCACCATGTCTCATAACTTTCATATTATTTTATACATTTTCCATTTCTGTGACCTTCAGTATTTCAGTCTGGATTTTCTTCAGACCCATCTTTCAGTTTACTAATTATTTCTTTAGCTAGATTCTAATCTGATCTTAAACCCATCCATTGAGTTCTAAATTTCAGTTATTATATATTTTCAGTTCTAGAATACTGATTTCTTTTGCCAAAATTTTCCACCTAGTCATTTATTTTAGATATATTAATTATAGAGTATTTATTTCCCCAAAGTTCATGTCTGATGATTACAGTATTTGGATTGCCTGAGGATCTCTCTATAGTTACTAAAAACCAAAAAGAAGACAGAATTCTTGTCTATTGTATGTTCTAGTTAATTTTGATTGAGTACCACATACTGAGTATACAAAATTGATGTGATCCTTTGAGTCTCTGGGTGATGTTATCTTCCTCCGGAGAGAATTTACTTTTGCTTCTGGCATATCTAGTGCTAGGAACAAATCATACAAATCCAGTCAAGGAATGAGATATTTCAAAGCTGGCTTCAGTCTTTGTGAGTTTGTCTAATTCAGTATTGTCCTTCCTGAAAAGAATCTTAACTGAAAGCTGGTGTGATTACCAAGGCTCTTCCTCTCAGTGGGCCCTAAATTTCCATTTGTGTCCTCTCTTCCCTGTGAGAATGCTTAAGATTCTTTTCTACATCTAAGTCTTTTAGTCATAACTTTCTGTTTGGATTCTCAGCCTAACAAGCTTTACTTTGGAACTGACAAATGCCTTGAAGTAAAAAGTGATGCCAAATATCAGGCTTACCTCTCTGGGTTTCCCTTCTTTCTGGGGTCTCGGTTGAACAAGTCCTTATTGCATTGATAGCTCTATAATATAGCCTTCAAATAATTGTATAATATTTGGTCTAGATATTTCATTAGATCAAACCACATGAAATTTTCTTTTTCTTATGTCAAAATGGCTGCATATTGGCAATATCATATGCTTCAGTCAAAATTATTCTCAATGAGAGGGTTAATCTGAAAGAAACTATTCCATTATTGCTAGAAGCTGAATTTTCAGAATCTAGGGTTAATGTAACCAAATGCTATTGGAACACTAGATAAGTATCACAAAGAGGTCTAATACATACATTCACATATAATGTATATATTCATCAAATACTATTTTTCCTGTGGAACAAGATATGCTTCTTATTTCCAAGTCAAGTTCAGATAGTAAGTCAATAGTAGCATTTAAAAACCTTATATCTGGCCAGGTGCAGTGGCTCACACCTGTAATCCCAGCACTTTGGGAGGCTGAAGCGGGTGGATCACCTGAAGTCAGGAGTTCCAGACTAGCCTGGCCAACAGGGCGAAACCCCGTCTCTAGCAAAAATACACCTGTAATCCCAGCACTTTGGGAAGCCGAGGCGGGCGGATCACAAGGTCAGGAGATCAAGACCATACTGGCTAACACAGTGAAACCTTGTCTCTACTAAAAATACAAAAAAATTAGTCGGGTGTGGTGGCGGGTGCCTGTAGTCCCAGCTACTCGGGAGGCTGAGGCAGGAGAATGGCGTAAACCCGGGAGGCGGAGCTTACAGTGAGCTGAGATCCCGCCACTGCACTCCAGCCTGGGCGACAGAGTCAGACTCTGTCTCAAAAAAAAAAAAAAAATAATAATAATAATAATTTTAAAACCTTATATTTTATATAAACATTGTAGAACAAATGTATTTGCATATAAATTCTCAGATTTTTGTACCAGAAATCTCAGTGTAATGAAAAAGTATCTGTGTACCTGAAAATATTATTGCTAGAAAACTGTCTGAAAACAATTTGTGACTCATCTTCCTCTTGTTTCTGAAGGATTGCTTATGGATGCCCAAATGCGTTAAGTTCGGGTGGTTTCTGCCCTATACTCCAACAGATAATGAGTATGGTGCTTGGAAGCGCCATTACGTTGCCTGTGTGTCCCACTTAGACTGGCTGACACCTAGGGAGGCTGCTGCTACTTATGGGACGCTGAATGAACCCAAAACAGAAGATGAGGAACTACTGGAGAGACAAAGAGAAAAGTACTTGAGGAAAAGAATTTGGGAGGAAATTGCACTACGTAACAGTAAGTAGCATTTTAAACCTTTATGTCTTATGTAAATATTGTAGAAACAAATGGATCACATACAAATTCCCACAGAGGAGGACGGCCCTGTCTTTCGCAGTACTCTGTCTTTATTTTCCAGAAGAGCTTTTTTCTTTATTGTATATTTCAAGTTAATTGATGAGAAAAACAGATTCCAGACAAAATATGTAAGGTTAAATATCAGTGTCTCCATTGCTGTTCTGGCTCCTTTCAGGCTTATAAGACCAAAAACAAAAAGCAGAAACATGTTTGAACACGGATAAGAAGCAAATAAATAGGTTCAAAACAGAGGAACTGGGAGTGATGAAAAAAGGAGGAGAAATGAAAGTGAGAATGGAAGCAGGGAAAATGCCATTTAAAAAAGGAGAAAGAGGACATCTTTTTCCTCTCTTTTTAAAGCCTCTTTCAGTTACGCCCCCTATTTATTTAATTTATTTATTTATATATTTTTGAGACAGGGTCTCACTCTGTCACCCAGGCTGTGCAGTGGTGAGATCTCTGGCTCACTACAGCCTCAACTTCTGAGGCTCAAGTGATCCTCCCACCTCAGCCTCCCAAGTAGCTGGGACCACAGGTGCACACAACCATGCCCTGCTAATTTTTTCTATTTTTGTAGAGACGGGGTTTCTCCATGTTGGCCAGGCTGGTCCCGAATTCCTGGGCTCAAGTGACCCACCCACCCTGGCCTCCCAAGGTGCTGGGATTCCAGGCATGAGCCATGGTGTCCAGCCTCAGCTAGGCCTTATGCTTTACGCAGTGTGTAAAAGAAAACAGCAAAACTGATTTGAGTTCTCCCGTGCTTTCTTCCCACTATCTCACCCTCCAGTGAGATTGTGACAAATAAGAAATTGCTTGAAGGCAAGAAGAAGGGCACAAATGAATGTGACACGTATCAATTGATTAACTGGTCTCCTCAAGAAAAGGGTTGCTTGTTCTCTGAGCTGTGTTTCTTGACCTGAAATGACTGGTAGCTCACAGCCACAGTGCTGAGAGGATGAGAAATCCAAACAGAGTACATGAAAATGGCTGTAATTATTGTCATTTGGAATCTTGCCCTGGTACAGCTTTATTTTTGATGCCTTTATCTGTGTGGACTTGGCTGGGAGAAGTATGAATTAATCAGCCCCGCCTGCTGCTTTTTGTTTTTCAGAGGAGTTATTCAAAGTTAGACCCCCTTGGGTTAGTGGAACTTGCTGCTCTAGCGTGCTAAAGCCCAGACGCCAACCACGCCTCTCCCAGACTGTAAGGGAGCGAGTGGGTTCACATGAAGCTTTGGAGAAACAGCTTGTTTTGACATCTTTAGAAATCTTGCCCAAGCGGTAAGCAAAATTCCATCTACTGACGGCTCAACACCATCCCAATACCAAACATTCACTCTAGAATAAATTTAGCTATCGTGCAGAAATCTTGTGTAATTCTGTGGCTCATATCCTCTGAAATATCAGTAAAGATAATTAATTTTCTAGAACAGTGGTCAAACATGCCTTCTGAAGAGGTAAACATATAACATCCAAAACTTACATTGTAAATATTCTTTTCTTTTTTTTTTTTTTTGAGATGAGGTCTTGCCACATTGCCCAGGCTGGTGTCAAACTTGTGGGCTCAAGCGTTCCTCCCACTATCCTCCCAAATAGCTGCGATTACAGGCATGTGCCACTGAGCCCAGCTTGACATATTCTCAACTCTGCATTGAAGCTATATTGTGGATGTAGTATATTTTCTGTATAAAGTTATTGAGCAAAAATAACATTTTTTTCCACAAGTGTTTTCTATGAAGTAAGAGTATCCAAATATAACTTCCACTTATATTTTTATGTACAAATATAATTATTTTATTACCCAAAATAGAGAAACATCAGCTGCATTCAGTTACCAAATCATACTATAGACTGAAATTACCAGAAATTAAATTCTGTCTGACATTCATAACCATTACCATTGTGCATCTGCTTAGAATTTCTTTTTAAACTTTTTTTTTTTTTTTTTTTGAGATGAAGTCTCACTCTGTCACCTAGGCTAGAGTGCAGTGGCACGATCTCAGCTTATTGCAACCTCTGCCTCCTGGGTTCAAGCGATTCTTCTGCCTCAGGCTCCTGAGTAGCTGGGACTACAGGCGCGCACTACCATACCCGGCTAATTTTTGTATTTTTAGTACAGACGGGGTTTCACCATGTTGGCCAGGCTGGTCTCGAACTCCTGACCTCAGGTGATCCACCGGTCTCAGCCTCCAAAAGTACTGGGATTACAAGTGTGAGCCACCATGCCCAGCCAACTTTGGATTCTTGAGATCATATAATCTCACTCATCTGTTTCAAATGAGGAAACTGAGGCCTAGGAAGGTGATGTGATTTACCCACATGTCAAAGTGTCAAACACTAGAACCTAAAACTCTAAGATTCCAACACTTTTTCAACGTCACCCACTGACGCTACATATGGATCTCTGTGTGTCTGAACATTTGTGAATGTGTGCATTCACTTGTTCAAGGCACATAAAGAATTTTAAGAGGCCAGGCATGGTGGCTCATGCCTATAATCCCAGCACTTTGGGAGGCCAAGGTGCGAGGATCACTTGAATTCAGGAGTTGGAGACCAGCCTAGGCAACGTAGCGAGACCCCATCTGCTGGTTGTGATGGCATACACCTGCGGTCCCACTTACTCAGGAGGCTGAGGTGGGAGGATTGCTTGAGCCTGGGAAGTTGAGGCTGCAGTGAACTGTGAGGACACAACTGCACTCCTGCCTGGGTGACAGAGCAGGACCCTGTCACTTAAAAAAAATAAAATAAAACAAACAAACAAACAAAAAATATATATATATATGGAATTTTAAGAAGCACAGGGAAGCCCCTGCTGCTGGTATTGCTGGAGGTGAGGGTGGCTGTGGAGAGAATGAAGATATTATTCAGGAACAACCGAGGCCTAGAAGGAAATTCACAATCTCTCAGCTACTTCTTTTTAAATATCTTTTTGAACTCCCAAATACGTCATTACATTCATTTACGAGCTAAGTAAGTTCTGAGAGACTGTTCCAGCATCCCACATGTGGCGGAGGAGAGGCTCAGAGAACAGATTTGGCCTCACCCCACCCAGGAGCTCCATTTGCTACTGTCCCCACAAAACACAGGGAGAGGCTAAGGCATGGAGGCCACGTGCCTTGTAGAATAGAGCTGATGGCCAGAGACATATGCTGCTTACTTACCAAAACTCAAGGTAAGAGAACATGAAAACTTCTCATATTTCCTTTTTCTCCATAGAAGCAATATTTCTGGAAGCCATTCCTACCCTTTATTATCAAAGAAATATCAGCATGGAGTTCATAAAAATGATGACAGCTCTTCATATGCTCTCCGGCCACACTTCATATTAATATCATCCCGGATTCCTGCGTATGAGGTAGAGTATGTTATGAGGCCAGTCCTGTCCTGATAGTTTTTTTTTTTTTTTCATCTAGACTAGAGGGTGTGTGACAATCTTTTGGCCACCATGTTTATGAAAAATGATTCAACTTCTAAAAGGAAAATCAAGCCAGGTGTGGTGGCACATACCTGTAGTCCCAGCTACTCAGAAGGCTGAGGTGGGAGGATCACTGGAACCCAGGAGGTTGAGGCTGCAGCGAACTGTGATCACAACACTGCACTCCAGCCTGGGCAACAAAGTGAGACTCTGTTTCTGTAAAAAAATAAAAGGCCAGGTGCAGTGGCTTACACCTGTAATCCCAGCACTTTGGGAGGTCAAGGTAGGTGGATCACCTGAGGTCAGGAGTTCAAGACCAGCCTGGCCAACATGGCAAAACCCCATCTCTACTAAAAGTACAAAAAAAATAGCCGGGTGTGGTGGTGTGCACCTGTAGTCCCAGCTACTCAGGAGGGTGAGGCATGAGAATCGCTTGAACTCAGGAGGTGGAGGTTGTAGTGATCAGGATACTGCACTCCAGCCCGGGTGACAGAGTAAGTCTGTCTCAAAACAAACAAACAAAAAAAACACAAGCGATAAAGGTGATCATAAATAATAATATTTTGAAAAAGCATTAAAGGCCCAAACTTTTAACTGAGGCCTTTTAACTGAGAGGTGACAACTTACTCAAGTGTCAAAGTTTCAAACACTAGAACCTAAATTCTGAATTCTAAATCCTAAAATTCCAGCACTCTTTTAGCTTCACCCATTGATGCTGCATGTAGATCTCTGTGTCTGAACATTTGTAAGAGTGTATGTGTGTGTGTGTATTAGTCCATTCTCACTGCTATAAAGAAATACCCAAGACTGGGTAATTCATAAAGGAAAGAGGTTTAACTGACTTACAGTTTGACATGGCGAGGAGGCCTCAGGAAACTTACAGTCATGGCAGAAGGCTAAGGGAAAGCAAGGACCTTCTTCACATGCCAACAGGAGAGAGAGCAATGAGCAGGGGAAATGCCACTTATGAAACCATCAGATCTCATGAAAACTCAGTGTCACGAGAACAGCATGCAGGAAACCGACCCCATGATCCAATCACCTCCCACCAGGTCCCTCCCTCGACACACGGGGATTATGGGGATTACAATTCAAGATGAGATTTGGGTGGGGACACAGAGCCAAACCATATCAGTGTGCATGTCCAATAAATTTCTGTTGAATTTAATTTGTTGCACTTAATCCAAAAAAGGAGCATGCTGATTAAGAATTACTTTGAAACTTCTCTGAAATTCCCAAATAGTATTATGTAACCACCATCTCACAAAAGAACAATGTCAGAAATCCTGTTTGGTTTCTCTATAATGAAGTTATATATTTTAATTTTAATCTGAATAATATAAAAATAAAGGAAGCACAAAGACAATCTTTGTATCTATATATGTGAGTGTATTTGTATGTATATATGTGTATGTGTGTGAATATGCACACATAGGGACATATACTTAGAAAAGTTTCTATTTGTAACAAAATGGCTCCTTTTGAGATACGAACTCACTTCTTCTAGGCATCTAGGAGTCAGCTCTAATCACTGATAACCGGTGAGCTCAGTGGATCCACACGAAAGCAAGATCAGAGCCTTGATCTCCATGTGGGCCATAGATAGTTTCCACAGTGTTTAACAATGCATCATGCTGGCCGGGCATGGTGGCTCACACCTATAATCCCAACACTTTGAGGCCAAGGCAGGAGGATTGCTGGGACTACAGGCACATGCCACCACACCTGCCTAATTTTTTATTTTTTGTAGAGACAGGGGTTTCACCATGTTGCCCAGGCTGGTCTCGAACTCCTGAGCTCAAGTTATCCAGCAGCCTCAGTCTCCCAGAGTGCTGGGGTTACAAGTGTGAGCCACTGTGCTTGGCCACTATTACGTTTTAAAAGTTATTTATATGTCTTTGTGCATGTTGTGCACAAAGATAAAAAGGCTGGAATAATCTAAATTGTTAATAGTATTTATCTCTGAGTGGAGTTACATGTGTACTTAATTTTCTCCTCTTATAATTAGAAATAAACTAATTTTAATAGAAACCAATGAAGGAGGAAGCTTATCTTCTTCCATAATCTCTGAAAATTCTTTAGAAATCACGGCACATTTTGTATCCATTCTATTTCTTTCATTAATAAATATTCTAAAATAGTGGGTCTCGGCTCTTGCAACTTTGGTTTCATTCTCCAGATGGTAGTGGAGAGCGTGAAGGCTGGTGTCGTTTCTGTGGTATATGAACACAGCGTAACCCTGGAGAGCCTGCTGTATCTGATAGAAAAAGCTCTGGACGGGAGGAAGGCACAGAGCATGGGAATATTTAGCGATGGAGATAGCAGAGAAATCAATTTACTCCAAGGTAGGCCTGGGGATTGACGATGAACAACTGCATGCAACTTCGTGCTGTGCAGTTTGTCCACAGTATGACTTTCGGAGGACTATTTCAGTTCCAAGTTGCTAAGATGTATTGATTTTTTGGCTTTATGAAAAAAGTGAAGCTTTTTTTTTTTTCTTCTTGATTCAGGGTCTCTTTCTGTCACCCAAGCTGGAGTGCAGTGGTGTGATCATGGCTCCCTGCAGCCTGGACTTCCCAGGCTCAAGTGATCTACCCACCTCAGCCTCCTGAGCAGCTGGGACCACAGGTGTGTGCCGCTACGCCCAGCTAATTTTTGTATTTTTTGTAGAGATGGAGTTTCTCCATGTTGCCCATGCTGGTCCCAAACTCCTGGGCTCAAGTGATTCTCCTGCCTTAGCCTCTTGAAGTGCTGGGATTACAGGGGTGAGCCACCACACCCTGACTTGAAGCAATTTTTTTGATGACCGTTTTTTCAAATTTTGATTCAAGAAACAGGTTACTGTCTTAACCATTTTGAAGTGTGCAGTTCAGTATTGTTGGTTCACACTGTTGTGAAACAGATCTCCAAAAATTTTCCATCTTGCAAAACTGAAACGCTGTGCCCACTGAAAACAAACTTCTCTCTTCTCCTTTCCACAGGCCCGGCAACCACCATTCCACCTTGTTTCTGTGAATTTGAGTATTTTAGATACCTCTTATAGGGGAACCACACAGTATTTGTCTTGTCTTCTTGTGAATTGCTTTTTTTTTTTTGAGACAGAGTCTCGCTCTTGTCGCCCAGGCTGGAGTGCAGCGGCACAATCTCAGCTCACTGCAACCTCTCTCTGCCTCCGGGATTCAAGTGATTCTCCTGCCTCAGCCTCCCAAGTAGCTGTGATTACAGGTGTCCACCACCATGCCTGGCTAATTTTTACATTTTTAGTAGAGATGGGGTTCCAGCATGGTGGCCAGGCTGGTCTTGAACTCCTAACCTCCAGTGATCCACCTGCCTCAGCCTCCCAAAGTGCTGGGATTACAGGCATGAGCCACTTTGCCTGGCCGTGACTGGCTTATGTCACTTAGTATAACATCCTGAAAGGTCATCCGTGTTGTATGTGTTCCTTTTAAGGGCATATATACAGCACGTTTTGTTTACCTGTTCATCCACTGATGGACACTGGGTTGCTTCCACTTCTACCGTGAATAGTGCTGCTATTGTTGAATATGGGTATGCAACCATCTCTTTGAGATCCTGCTTTCAATTCTGGATATGTACCAGAAGTGAGATTGACAGATTATATGATGGTTCTATTTTTACCTTTTAAAGAAATCTCCAGCCTGCTGCAGTGGCTCACACCTATAATCCCAACACTTTGGGAAGCTGAGGTGGGTGGATCACCTGAGGTTGGGAGATTGAGACTAGCCTGACCAACATAGAGAAACTCCGTCTCTACTAAAAATACAAAATTAGCCGGGTGTGGTAGTGCATGCCTGAAATCCCAGCTACTCGGGAGGCTGAGGCAGGAGAATTGCTTGAACCCGGGAGGTGGAGGTTGCAGTGAGCCGAGATCACGCCACTGAACTCCAGCCTGGGCAATAGGAATGAAACTCCATCTCAAAAAAAAAAAAAAAAAGAAAAGAAAAAAAAGAAAGAAAGAAAAAGAAATTTCGATGCTGTTTTCCATAGCTGTTGCATCATTTCCTAATCCCACCAACAGTGCACAAGGGTTACAGTCTCTACACATCCCACATCCTTGCCAACACTTATTTTCTGCGTGTATCTGTGCTTTTTATTTATTTTTTGTTTTGTTTTGTTGGTTGTTTTTGGAGACAGAGCCTTGCTCTGTTGCCCAAGGTGAAATGCAGTGGCGTGATCATAGCTCACTGTAGCCTCGAACTCCTAGGCTCAAGTGATCCTTTTTCCTCAGCGTCCTGAGTAGCTGATGCACACCATCATATCCAGCTAATTTCTATTTTTATTTTTGAGAGATGGGGTCCCACTATATTGTCCAGGCTGGTCTGGAACACCTAGCCTCAAGCAATCCTTCCACCTCAGTCCCCAACATGCTGGGATTACAGGTGTGAGCCACCATGCCTAGCCTTTTTTTTTTTTTTTTTAATAGTAGCCATCCTAATGGATGTAATATCTCATTGTGGTTTTGATTTGCATTTCTCTGATTAGTGATGTCAAGCATCTTTTCATAGGCTTGTTGGCCATTTGGTTATCTTCTTTAGAGAAATGTCTATTCATGTCCTTTGCACATTTTTAAAAAGTAGGTTATTTGATTTTTTTCACTGTTGAGTTAGAGTTCATATATTCCAAATATTAACCCCCTATCAAATATATGATTTGCAAATATTTTCTCCCATTACATAGATTTCATTTTCACTCTGTCGATTATACACTTTGATGCACAAAAGTTTTAAATTTGATGAAAGTGCAGCAATTTTAATAGCAAATACCAAGAGCTATAAGTTGGTATACACTAACATTTATTATATTCCTAGTTGGCTTATACTACAAAGGAAAGGAATGGCTGATATCATCAACTTGTTACAGGGCAGCTATCAAAAATCTCAATGGGGTGGAGCATGGTGGCTCACACTTGTAATCCTGACACTTTGGGAGGCCGAGGTAGGTGGCTCTTTTGAGCCCAGGAGCCCACACCAGCCTGGGCAACATGGCGAAACCCCATCTCTACAAAAAAATACAAAGAAATTAACTGGGTGTGGTGGCACACACCTCTGTAGTCCCAGCTACGCCTTGGGAGGCTGAGGTGGGAGGATCCCTGGAGCCCAGCTGGGCAGAGGTTGAAGTGAGCCATTGAACCACTGCACTCCAGTCTGGGCTACAGAACAAGACCTGGTCTTAAAAAAAACAAAAACAAAAGCAAAAACAAACCAAAAACCCCCAACCCCCTGCCCCTCAAAACAAACCTCAATGGTTACTTTTGTTCAGGAGAAAGAGATGATGAATGTTTTAGAAGTAAATATCTAGTTTCTATTCTTATAACTTACATTCTTCCTTGCTTACACTTAAAGTAAAATTGTTTTAAAACTTACGCAATTGAACTCTTCCATCATTGTGGGATGAGGGGAGAGAAGGAATAAGATGGTCCCAGATATGGCTGGAGTAAACCAGCAAAATGGCAAAGTGAGTCCCTGAGTCACCTGTCAAATTGCCATCTCTGTGGTTGGGACTTCATGTACTTGGAAAGTTTCAGTGAAATTTATCATTGGCAGAAACGAATTGTCTTTTGTTTCAGTTTACCTTACTTCTGGTTTTCCCTGTTTAGCTTACCTGTGCCTAGGGCAAGTTGTGTTCCACATCGTTTTTCTATGTCCTCCCAAAGTAAAGCACAGATACTATTTGTTTGGGGTTTAAATGTATAATGACATAGTAACTCTTCTCTAAATGGTGCAGAGATATTGGCAAGTTTATATGATGGGAGTAAGTTTATCTCGTGTAGAATGTCCTATAAGAGTTTCTTGATCTCAGCCTTTTTGTTCTCCAGGTAAGAAAAGTTTTCAAACTCTGCCTTTTCCTTATTCTGGGTGTTTTTTTGCTTTTTTGTTTTTTTGTTTTGTTTTGAGATGGAGTCTCACTCTGCCGCCCAGGATGGAGTACAGTGTCGCAATCTCGGCTCACTGCAACCTCCGCCTCCAGGGTTCAAGCGATTCTTCTGCCTCAGCCTCCTGAGTAGCTGGGACTACAGGCATGCATCACCATGCCCAGCTAATTTTTGTATTTTTAGTAGAGATGGGGTTTCACCATATTGGCCAGGCTGATCTCGAACTCCTGACCTTGTGATCCGCCTGCCTCGGCCTCCCAAAGTGTTGGGATTACAGGCATGATCCACCACTCCTGGCCCTTATTTTGTTTTTTTTTAAGCAACAGTAACAATGACAAAATACCTCAAACAACTAGTTTCCTTCTGTATAATTGTGGTGTTTTCCCAAAAGCTTTTGCTTTCAAAACAACATCAAAACAAAGTCGGCTACCCTGTCACATGAGGAAGTCCTTTCTCCCTCCCAGTGGGAGGGAGTGAAACACCAGAATTCTTTGCCTGTTTTCATTTCATCCCCAGAGCCTGGGAATGTGGAGTTTCCAGGACTCCTTTAGAAATGGGTCCAGACCCATGCAGCTTAGCGGAATCATCACACAGAATTGTCGGGAAGTGAGAGAAAAGGAGAGTTTCAGTTGATGGTTACCATCTCTGAGAGCCTTACTTCTGCTCTGCACTATTTATTTTTTGATTGACAATCCTGGGAAACAGTTCTACTTTGGAACTTGGTTGCAAAGTCCCATGGCTTGCTGGCCATCCACCCTAAACCCTGCATGCGCCTGATGCCTTACCCTGCGGCACAGTGGAGGCAGAAATGCAGTGTCCTCAACCGGAGTGCATACTGTCCAGTTCACCCAGGATGTGAAGGAGAACAGGGCCATGGTGATGGCCCCGACACGGTGCAGGAGGAAGCAGAGGTGCCTCAGGTATCTTGGTCTTATAGGCAGATGGCATTTTGATTTTGTGCTTACATTTTCACAAACTGCTAATAATTTCTGTTCAGGATTATGTTACCAACTAATATGACATTTTGATTTTTTTTTCCTCAGGCTATAAAATTGGTGTTAAAAATTTACTGAGGCCTGAAGTGAGAGATTTCTGGGAGAAATTAGGAAGCTATGTGGCCACTGAAGAAGAAGGGGGTCACGTGGACCTCTTCGTGCCCCTTGGAGCATCAGGTTAGCTCGGAACACCTCGTACAGAGACAGTGGCCTTGCCACTTCATGGGGATATGTTGTGAATTACTGAAATGCCCCTGGGTCAAATGATTCAGTCACATTTCATGCTTCAATTTCTTTTTTCTTTATACGTCACATATCCAGGTATTTCAGGAAACTAGCAGTGAGGGATAGTGATGAGAGTAACCTGTCTCTGCAGAAATACAGTCCCTAAATGGCAAGACCCAGCAGCATTATTTATATTTATTCTGGAAAACACAATAAAACCAGCATCCAGGATATAGGGGAAGGTGCCTGACCATCATAGGAGCCATAATCATTCAATCCGAGGAAACGCCCCCTGCCGCCTTCTGAACCTGGAGTAGGCATGAACTTTGGTGACCAACAACCTGAACTTGAGTTCCATCCACACCATCGTTTAGCTTTGTGGCATTAGGCAAACTTGTGGACCTCCATTTCCTCATATGAAATTTAGAACAACAGTATCTTAGTGTGTCTTAAGGACTTGTGAATATCAAGATGACATAAATATTTAAATAATAAATATAGTATATATTCTTAGATAATATTAAAAACAGCGAAGCGCTTTATAAAGATGAGTATGGCTAATGACTAAGGTTGCTGATATCATTTTAAGTGGCTGCCTGTCTAGAATCAGCAACTGTGATTCAAAGTTGATTTCTATGCTTGAAGAGAAACTTCAGAAGCTTAAGTGAAACTCACTCTTTGAGATCTGTTCAGTAAAAGCTCTGTATTCATGGTCAATGTTTTACCAAGCAGAGCAGGGGAGAGGGAATGTGAAATTAAATTATCTCATGCTGTTTTGTTGTTGTTGTTGTTGTTAGCCATTCCTTGGGGAACTGTGAGTTTTAAAATTCTTTCTACTCCTCAAATTTCACAGGACTGTTGGACATATGCAAAGCAAGCCCCTGGCAGGCTTCAATCAGGGGACAGGAAAAAAAAGAATGGGAAAGAATTTTTTAAAATGTGTAAATAATTTTACAAAGTTATTCCAGTTACATATATATATATTTCTTAAATCTCAATTATGTAGAAAATACGCTGGTCGGGTGTGGTGGCTCACGCCCGTAATCCCAGTACTTTGGGAGGCCAAGGTGAGCAGATCAACTGAGGTCAGGGTTCAGGACTAGCCTGGCCAATATGGCGAAACCCCATCTCTACTAAAAATAGAAAAAATTAGCTGGGTGTGGTGGTGGGTACCTGTAATCCCAGCTACTCAGGAGGCTGAGGCAGGAGAATCTGCCGGGAGGCAGAGGTTGCTGTGAGCCAAGATCACACCACTACACTCCAACCTGGGCAACAGAGTGAGACTCTGCCTCAGGGAAAAAAAAAAAAGAAAATATGCATAGAAAAATCTAAAAGGAAATATACCAAAATATTAACAGCACCTATTTCTAGATGCGTTTTATAATTTTCCTACTTTTCTACTTTTGAACTTAGTTTTAAAAGACTAGGTTATAAAGAGTTGGATGGCGTGATCTCATTGTTTACAACATGCGTGAGTTGGTGTATGTATTTATAGAAAAAGATTTGGAAGGATGTATACCAAGGTGTTGACACTAGTTGGATATAAGTGAGTTTTCCTTTCTTTTTTTCTCCCTTTAATTAATTTTGTCTCAATTTCCTGTAATGAACTAATATTACTTTTATAATAAGAACAAAACAAATATTTTAAGAGAAGAAGAAAGGACTTGGGAAAGTATTGAAAGGCAGAATAAGAATAAAGGGGGGAAAGTGGGTTCAGTGACATAAAAATTATCTTAAGTGAAACTTAATGACACTCAAAAAATAGGCTTCCCATCACCATTCTGGGCCCCGAAATTCTCATCAAATGTAATATTCACCTGGATGCATCAAAGATCATTGACTTCTCAGTCCAAATATCTCTTTTCCACCACTTCAGGCATCCCTCTTAGGCTTGTCAGCCCAGTAGCTGTATCACCCCTAAAATCTTGATTTCAAGTATTTATCTTTGAGTTGAGAACCATTTTCAAATCATGTACTCAAATACCCCCACCACAGCAATTCTTTTCGTCTTTTTTTTTTTTTCCCCAGATGGAGTATCACTCTGTCGCCCAGGCTGGAGTGCAGTGGCATGATCTCGGCTCACTGCAACCTCCACCTCCCGGGCTCAAGCGATTCTTCTCAGCCTCCCAAGTAGCTGGGACTACAGGCATGTGCCACCACACCCAGCTAATTTTTGTAATTTTAGTAGAGACAGGGTTTCACCATATTGGCCAGGCGGGTCTAGAACTTCTAACCTCATGATCCGCCCACCTCGGCCTCCCAAAGTGCTGGGATTACAGCCATAAGCCAGCACACCTGGCCCAGCAATTCTTTATCTAAGACCTCCAGCCTACACGCTCCAACTTTTTCACTATCACCACGTCTTCATTTTTGCTTCCTTCCTTGTTAAACTTGGATTTAATGGCCCAACTTTATCATCACTCACTTGCTAAGAATCTGAACTTCCTTGTCTTTTTTGGGTAAATCCCAATTTTTCTGGCTAAATCCCAAAGTTAGTTAAAACACAACTCTCTGCACACGCTATACCTGTGGGTACTAAAGCAGCTTTAAAGACTGTTGGAGTAAGTGATACAACTGTTCTGATTGGTCTAACTTTACCTTGGTGGCATAACTGTCAAATGGGATTGCAACACTGATGAGCAATTTCCTTGGTAAATTCATTTTCACACTCTTTGAGATCACAATTTTATCTCTTCTCTTTAGACAATCTTTCAATAACCCTGTCTCTTAGCTTTGACCTCACCTTTTAGTTCCCTGAGAAAACAGAATCATATGGGAACTCCCTAATTTTCCTCCCACCATCGAATCCACCACTAGCTCCACCTCTTACTTTTTATTCTGTCTCCCTTTCTGCCTTGATGGAAGCAGCACCCGTCTCAAACAAGCTCAGATACTGCACTTGGAATCTAGCCCGTTGCCTTTCATCTTCTCCAGACTTCCTACATCCAATCCTCTCCTATGCCCTCATGTCTCTCTTTATTGGATTGTTTCTATCAAACAGAAACACCTGTAGTATCTCCTGTCTTTTAAAAAAATAAAAGGACAACAAGCTTTCCCTCGCCACTTTTTCAATTGACAAGACCAGAGGTTCTCAGACTAACTACACATTGCTGGGTCCCACGCAGAGTTTCAGACTCAGTTAAGTCTGGGGTAGGGCTGGAGAATTTTCCTTTCTATCAAGTTTCCAGGTTATGTTGACGCTGCTGCTTCAAGGCCTTCCTTCCTCACCTCCCACACTCTCCTCAAGCTCCTCCAATGGGTCTCTGTCTCTACTGGCACTGCTTTTGGAGGACTGTAAGTGACTTCCACGTGCTCAAATCTAGTGGTCCCTGCTCCATTCCCATCTCACTTTGACTTCTTGGAAGCATCTGATGCAGAGGAACGCCTCTTCTTGAAATACTCCTTCTCTTGTTGTCCCTAATACCACCCGCTCCCTGTTTCCTCCTACCTCAGTGCCCTCTTGTCTCCTTTGCAGGTTCTTCTTTCTCTGCAGGATCCTTAAATATTCTCTACGGCTTGATCCTAGCCTCTCTCCTTTTCCACATACGCACTCTCCTCCCTAGGCAGTCTCACTACTCCTATGTGTATTATTCCTTTCTCACACTTGGTCCGTTCTCACGCTGCTATGAATAACTGCCGGAGACTGGGTAATTTATAAAGGAAAGAGGTTTAATTGACTCACAGTTCTGCATGGCTGGGGAAGCAAACACGTCCTTCTTCACATGGTGGCAGGAGGGAGAAAAATAAGAGCTAAGCAAAGGAGGAAGCCCCTTATAAAACCATCAGATCTCATGAGAACTCACTTGCTCTCACGAGAAGAGGATGGGCAGATTGCCCCCTTAATTCAATTATCTCCACCTGGTCCCACCCTTGACACGTGAGGATTATTACAATTCAAGATGAGACTTTGGGTGGGGACACAGCCAAACCATATCACTATGACTCTAAATATAATTTATATGCTAAGAACCCCGAAATTTATGCCTCCAGCTCTGAAATCTCTGAGCTGCAGACTCATATCTAATTCCCACTTGGAATCTTCATACTGGATGTTTAATTTGCACATTTAATAGACACCTCAAAGTTAAATCAGACCCTTGATTGCCTCCCCAGCACCAAACCTACCCCTTCCCCAGATTCCTCCGTAAAAATATCATTCAACAGTTACTGCATAAGCCAAAAATCTGAGAATCTGAGACTCATTCTTTTTGGCATTAAAAACATTTTAAAATATAATTAATATACAATAAACTGTACATAACTAAAGTGTGCAATTGACTAAATTTTGACATATGTATGCTTATCCCATGAAACCATAAGAAAAATCAAGAAAATGAACATATTCATTACCCCCAAAACTTTCCTCATGCCATTCCATAATTTCTCTGTCCTGCTTCTCCCCACCCCCAACCTGAGGCAACCACTGGTCTTTCTTTCACGTATATTAGTTTTCATCTTCTGGAATTTTCCTGTTTTTTTTCTCTTTTTTTCTTTTTTTTTTTTTTTTTTTTTTTTTTTTTTGAGACAGGGTCTGCTTTGTTGCCCAGGCTGGAGTGCAGTGGTGAAATCAAGGCTCAGTGCAGCCTCAACTTCCTGGGGTCAAGCGATCCTCCCACCTCAGCCTCCTGAGTAGCTGGGACTACAGGTGCACAACACCACACTTGGCTAATTTTTTTATGTTTAGTAGAGACAGGGTCTCCCTATGCTTCCCAGGCTGGTCTTGAGCTCCTAGGCTCAAGCAGTTCTCCTTCCTCAGCCTGCTGGGATCACAGACGTGCGCCATCCCACCTGGCCTAGAATTTTCCTTTTCCTTTTTTCTTTTTTAATATGGAACATTTCAAAAATTTGCAGGTCATCCATGTGCAGAGGCCATACTAATCTTCTCTGTATTGTTCCAATTTTAGTATATGTGCTGCCAAAGTGAGCACTGACCTAGAATCTTCTATAAATGGCATCATATAGTATGTATTATCTGTCTGACTTTCTTCACTCAATCATTATTTTAGATTTATCCATTCGATGCATGTATCAATGTCTCCTTTTTACTACTGGGAATTATTACATTGTACATGTATACTACAATTTGTTTATCCATTAATTTGTTGATAGATAAATTTGAGTTCTTCCTGGTTTCTGCTTTTACAAATAAAGCTGCTATGAACATATGCTTTCATTTCTCTTGGATGAATACCTGGGAATAGAGTGGCAAGGTTATAGGTAGGTGTATGTTTAACTTTATAAAAACACCAGCTAAACTGATTTCCAAAGTGACTTTAGCATTTTACATTTCCACAAGCAGTATCTGAGAACTCTAGCTGCCCATCATTCTAACACTTGGTATGGCCAGTCTTTTTAATTTTAGCCATTCGGGTGGGTATGTGGTGGTATCTCACTGTGGTTTTAATTTGCATTTTTCTAATGACTAATGATGCTCAAGATCTTTTCATATGCTTATTTGCCATTCTTTTGACCATCTTAAAGACTAGGTTGTTTGTTTCTTATTCAGTTTTAAGAACTCTTTGCACATACTGGATAAGTAACTTGCAAATATTTTCTCCAGTCTGTGACTTATATTTTCCTTCTTTGAACAGTTTCTTTTCAAGCAGAGTTTTTTTTTTTTTTTTGAGACAGAGTTTCGCTCTTGTTACCCAGGCTGGAGTGCAATGGCACAATCTCGACTCACTGCAACCTCCGCCTCCCAGGTTCAAGTGATTCTCCTACCTCAGCCTCCTGAGTAGCTGGGATTACAAGATTACAGATGCCCGCCACCATGCCCAGCTACTTTTTAAATATTTTTAGTAGAGACAGGGTTTCACCATGTTGGCCAGGCTAGTCTTGAACTTCTGACCTCAGGTGATCCACCCACCTCGGCCTCCCAAAGTGCTGGGATTACAGGCACGAGCCACTGTGCCCAGCCTGAAGTACAGTTCTTAATTTCGATGAAATCAAATATATCAAATGTTCTTGTATAGATCATACTTTGGCATCGTATCTAAACACGATTTGCCTAACCAAAGGCCACTGAGATTTTCTCCTATGTTTTTTCTAAATATTTATAGCTTTAAGTTTGACTTTTAGGTCTGTGATCCACTTGACCGTTTTTTTAATGTGATATATGAGATATGGATAGAAGTTAATTTTTTTTTTAACATATGGCTAGTTGTTTCATCACCGTTCTTTATAACTACTATCCTTTTTCCAATGAATTTAATTTGTACCTTTGTTGAAATCTATTGACTATGTATGTACATTGGACTCTCTATTTGATTTCATTGATGAATTTGTCAATGAAAGTGATGTAGACATCAGTAGGTGAGAGACATCCCAAACTTTCAGCTGCTGTCATCTTGTTTCATGAAGCAATTGAAGCATTTTGGAGTATTTATTCTTGGACCACAAATAGTTAAAATAAATTACCCATTTCATTACAAGTAATTCAACCTGTATGCTGAATTAAATAATTCAATCTATTTGTTGTGCCACTGAAGGGGCTATTTTTAATTATTTATTTATTTATTTATTTATTTTTTACTTTGAGTTCTGGGATATAAGTACAGTGTGTGTAGCTTTGTTACATGGGTATACATGTGCCATGGTGATTTGCTGCATCTATCAACCCGTCATCTAGGTTTTAAGCGCTGCATGCATTAGCTATTTGTCCTAATGCTCTCCCTCCCCTTTCCCCCCAACCGTCCTAGGCCCCGGTGTATGATGTTCCCCTCCCTGTGTCCATGTGTTCTCATTGTTCAACTCCCACTTATGAGTGAGAACATGCGGTGTTTGGTTTTCCGTTCCTGTGTTAGTTTGCTGAGGATGATGGCTTCCAGTTTCATCCATGTCCCTGCAGAGGACATGAACTCATTGTTTTTTATGGCTGCCTAGTATTCCATGGTGTATATGTGCCACATTTTCTTTATCCAGTCTACCATTGAGGGACATTTGGGTTGGTTCCAAGTCTTTGCTATTGTGAACAGTGCTGCAATAAACATACTTGTGCATGTGTCCTTATAGTAGAATGATTTATAATCCTTTGGGTATATACCCAGTTATGGGATTGCTGGGTCAAATGGTATTTATGGTTCCAGATCCTTGAGCAATCACCACACTGTCTTCTACAATGGTAGAACTAATTTACACTGCCCCAACAGTGTAAAAGCGTTCCTATTTCTCCACAGCCTTACCAGCACCTGTTGTTTCCTGACTTTCTAATAATCACCATTCTACTGGCATGAGATGGTACCTCATTGTGGCTTTGATTTGCATTTCTCTAATGACCAGTGATGATGAGCTTTTTTTCATGTGTTTGATGGCCTTATAAATGTCTTCTTTTGAGAAGTGTCTGTTCACATCCTTCGGCCACTTTTTGATGGGGTTGGGTTTTTTTTTGTTTTTTTTCTTTTTTTCTTGTAAATTTGTTTAAGTTCCTTGTAGATTCTGGATATTAGCCCTTTGTCAGATGGATAGATTGCAAAAATTTTCTCCCATTCTGTAGGTTGCCTGTTCACTGTGGTGATAGTTTCTTTTGCTCTGCAGAGGCGCTTTAGTTTAATTAGATCCCATTTGTCAATTCTGGCTTTTGTTGCAATTGCTTTTGGTGTTTTAGTCATGAAGTCTTTGCCCAGGGAAGGGGCTAAATTTTAATCATCATATTCCATCCTGTGTTTAACTTTTTAAAATCTGTCCTCTTATAATGAGACTTATCCTTTGAGTCAGACTATTTTAGAAAAAATATATAGATTTTTCTCTTTCTTTGGGCTGGGTATTCCAAATCTGAAAATAAGCCCCAGATCAAACTCCATGCCGTCTTTCCCCATCCTGGAGTTTAGTCCTCAGATTGTTTCGGCTTCAGTATTTAGGGGTGAACTATAAAGTGTTCATGGACTGTTCAATGGAGTGGTTTGAATGGAAGACAAGAACTGCTAGCGGCCTTTCTTGGCCATCTCTTCAGTGCCTGTACGTAATATTTAACTGCTCTGGATGAGTCTGTTCTTGCATTGCTATAAAGAAATACCTGAGGGTGGGTAATTTATAAAGAAAAGAGGTTTAATTACTTCGTGGTTCTCCAAGCTGTATAGGAAGCATGCCACTGGCATCTGCTTGGCATCTGGTGAGGGCCTTGGGGAGCTTATAATCATGGCAGAGGGTGAAGGGGCAGCTGGCGTGTCACATGGCAAGAGCGGGAACAAGAGAGAGGGAGGAGGTGCCACACACTTTTAAACAACCAGATCTTGTGTGACCTCAGAGTGAGAGCTCACTCATCACTAAGGGGATGGCACTAGCCATTCATGAGGGATCTGCCCCCATGATCCAGATACCTCCTGCCAGGCCCCACCTCCAACGCTGGGGATTAAATTTCAACATGAGATTTGGAGGGAACAAATATCCAAGTTATATCGTCTTCCATGGCAAAACATATGAGTAAACTAACAAAAGTATTTTTTACTATGCAGAGGCAGGAACTGAAGTTCTTTCCCAGCTGTCTCAACTAACTGGCACATTCTTTACGGCCCCCACTGGGATTGCAACTGGCTCTTACCAGCACAGTAAGTGTTATGGGAGCTGAGTGCCATGTCCAATAACTCCAGGATCATCAAAAGATGAAATCCAGTTAATAGTACTGGTATGGCTGATAGCCATTACTCTCTTTCATTCCTCCCCTGAAGGAACGCTATTACTTCCCAAACTAGGTAATCTCACATCATTCAGTCATTTGCTTAGAAGAGAATTATTTATTGTACATATTTGCCCCAAACCATCATTTACAAAAACTCTGTTGAAAACATAATCTTTAACAATTAAGCAAAGTTGCTGATCTAGAAAAATAATAAGTACAAAGAATAACTTTTCTTGGTAAAATATAGTCAATATGGTTTTATTTGGAAAAATAAATTGTAGCTGTGAAGAGATGGCAAAGAGGCTGGCTTAGTTTCCATTACAGTAGCATTATCTGAGAGGAAAAACAATCAGAGAAAATACACCTGAAAGCAAACTTTCATTTAGGTACTAAAGCTGCAAATTTAGATTAAAACGTAACATGGGCTGACCAACAAGAGAGTCAAATTGCTTTGTTACACTGACGCCAGTCATTTTCCGCTTTAAAACACCCTTGATTCCTATCAAGTAGGGCTGAGAGTGATGCAAACTATATAAAGCATTGCTTCTCTACTCCTAAATGCCAAGGGCCTTTTAGAACTTGGGAAAACTGGCACAATTGTGAAACTGGTAAGGGAAAAGATTCTTTATAGATAAAACAAAAGTGCATTGACCTAATATAGTTTTGAAGCAGAGGTCACTTGCTAATTTTAGTTAATATAGCAACGTCACCAAATGATAGCATATTTGGCTCTGTGGAGAGAGGAACTGGCCTAGCAGAGCGCAGCAGGCTGTGAACACTGTTGCTGGTAATAGGGAACAGGTTTTCTTTCTTTCTTTTTTTCTTTCTTTCTTTTTTTCTTTCTTTCTTTCCTTCCTTCCTTCTTTCTTTCTTCTTCTTTTTTTTTTTTTTTTTTTGAGACAGAGTCTTGCTGTGTCGCCAGGCTGGAGTGCAATGGCATGGTCTCGATCTTGGCTCACTGCAACCTCTGCCTCCTGGGTTCAGGCGGTTCTCCTGCCTCAGCCTCCTGAGTAGCTGGGACTACAGGCGCCCGCCACCATGCCCGGCTAATTTTTGTATTTTTAGTGAAGATGAGGTTTCACCATGTTGGCCTGGATGGTCTCGATCTCTTGACCTTGTGATCCACCCACCTCGGCCTCCCAAAGTGCTGGGATTACAGGAGTGACCCATCACATCTGGCTGGGAACAGGTTTTCTTCTTTTTCTCCTCCTCTGCCTTCCCTTCCTCCTATTCATCCTCCTTTTCCCTCTCTTGTTCTCATTCTCCTTATTTTTTAAAAAAAAAAAAAGTATGTTGTGGCTGGGTGCGGTGGCTCACACCTGTAATCCGAGCACTTTGGGAGGCCGAGGCAGGAGCATCACGAGCTCAGGAGTTTGAGACCAGCCTGGCCAACATGGTGAAACCTCGTCTCTACTAAAAATACAAAAACTAGCCAGGCAGTAGTGGCATGCATCTATAATCCCAGCTACTTGGGAGACTGAGGCACAAGAATTGCTTGAACCTGGGAGGCGGAGGTTGCAGTGAGCCGAGGTCGCGCCACTATACTCCAGCCTGGGTAACAAAGCAAGACTCTGTCTCAAACAAAAACAAAAACAAAAACATGTTGTGAAGCTTTCCACATGTCTATCAGTAACAGTAGAGGAAACAAAGCAAGTAAGGCTATGTATCCACTCAGGACAGAAAATCAAATTTAACATACCAGTGCATCATCCAGTAATTGTTTTTTAAGAAGAGAAACTTTCTTTAAGCATCTGTTATAGTCCTGTAGACAGATTTGTAGAGCGAGGTAGCAGTTTGACATAATTTAAGAAAGATAAGGATTTGGCTATGACAGGGTTGACTTTCAGTGGCCTGATGGGGAAGCCGTGTAGTGTGGGATTTCTTGTGTTTTCACTTGTAGGCTGGAAAGATACAGCAATGCATTCTTCCTTAGATGACTTCTCAGCTTCCCAATGCACAATCCAGCAGCTGTTTTTTTTTTTTTTTTTTTAACTTTGAATGGAATACGTCAGCCTCAGCTATCAAAGAGATGCATTTGAAATGATTCATTGAATCCTTTTTGAGTTTCTAATTTTACCTTTGAAAACAGAGGATGGGTGTTTGTCTTAGTCTTCTAATGAGAAACGATAATAAACTCAATACAAATGCAACTAAGTTTTTGTTGTACTTTAAACAAGACGTAGAATTCTTTCATCTGAGCTCAAGCCTGCAATAATAACAGAAGAAAATCTTGTCAGTTCTTAGTGATTGGCTGGGATCCCAATGGGGAAAGGCCCCCTCTTCCATCTACTTCTGCGAAGCAAAGCTACAGACATGGTCCAGCTTCGCAGACTTCCTAGAAGAAACCTTGAAAACAGTAAGGAAGCAGCTGTATCCTCTCTTCAAGGAACTGCAGAAGAGCATCAGTGGCAGGATGATAGGTAAGCAGTCTTGCTACTTCTGTTGCAGGTTAATTATGAAGTTGCTTTCATATCCCGAGTGAATACTAGTTGTGGCACAAGTAAAATTTTAACTCCAGTAAAACTTTATCTCCTAGGTTGCTCACACTTCCTTTCAAATGTAATGAATACCCGCTAAGAACAAATATATTCAGGTTCAAAAATGTTGAAGCTGGTTCTTATTTTAACATTTTACCACCTTATTAATTCTTTGTCACTTATTTACCTGGACACAATTTGCTGTTTGCTAAGCCAGAGAGCTGTGCACTTTTCCCACTAGAGTTTGCTCTGAAAGTTAAGCACTTCTTATACCCCAGCAACTATTATATAAATTGTTCTACAATTTAAATTCTACTTATTTTCTATCTAAAAAATATAATTTAGTGATGGGCTCCATGGGCCTTTGCTGAGTCTATTGGACATGGTTGAATGAATTTTTCCATTCACATTCCAGCCCCATGATGGAATGAATGATCACAGCAGAGCCCTTTGAAAACAATTTACTTCCTCCACTTTGCATCTTTCCCTAAATTAGTCCATTCTGTAAAATTAAGTATATTTCACCATCTAGGTAAAGAGTTTTTCTTTTTCTCATCTGCAACTATTCATATCTATTCAATTTTTCCCCTACTACTTTCCGCCTGACTAAAACACCGTATGAATCAAATCACCCTCTATCTATGCCTTTCTTCTTTTCCTCTGCCCAGCTCCATATTTAAGGTCTGTTTACATAGTTACCATCTACACAAGAGCTGTAACACACAAGCGTGCATGCAGATATCTGTCAATATGTGTCCTATGTCTCTTTACAGAAATGCCTCCAAAACAGGGATTTGCCTTCCTGCTTATTTTTACTACCTACTCTATCACATTTAGGAGGTATTCAACCATTATTTAAAAATGGTTATGAAGTTGTAAACACGGAGAAAGTATTTCTCCTAGTTCTTCCTTTCTTTCTTTCTTTCTTTTTTTTAGACAGAGTTTCACTTTTGTCCCCCATGCTGCAGTGCAATGGTGTGATCTCGGCTCATTGCAACCTCCGCCTCCCGGGTTCAAGGGATTCTCTTCCCTCAGCCTCCTGAGTAACTGGGATTACAGGCATGCACCACCACGCCCAGCTAATTTTTGTATTTTTAGTAGAGACAGGGTTTCACCATGTTGACCAGGCTGGTCTCAAACCCCCGACCGCAAGTGATCCACCCATCTCGGCCTCTCAAAGTGCTGGGATTACAGGCGTGAGCCACCGTGCCCAGCCTATTTTTTATATTTTTAGTAGAGACGGGGTTTCACTCTGTTAGCCAGGATAGTCTTGATCTCCTGACCTCGTGATCCACCCGCCTCGGCCTCCCAAAGTGCTGGGATTACAGGCTTGAGCCACTGCACCCGGCCCAACAATTTTTTAAATAACTGCATCGTGTTAAAAATATTTTAAAAATTAAAAGATGTCTGTGTATGTATGTTTGCATGTTATTTACTCTGGACTTTAAAATATTTAAATATTTGAAGCCTGGTGCAGTGGCTCAGCCTGTAATCCCAACAGTTTGGGAAGCTGAGGCAGGTGAATTGCTCGAGCTCAGTAATTTGAGATCAGCCTGGGCAATATGGCAAAACACTGTCTCCACAGAAAAATAGAAAAATTAGCTGGGTGTGGTGACGTGTGCCTGTAATCCCAGCTACTCAGGAGGCTGAAGCATGAGAATTGCTTGAGCCGGGGAGGTAGAGGTTGCAGTGAGCTGAGATTGCATCACTGCACTCCAGCCTGGGCAACAGAGTGAGACCCTATCTCAAAAAAAAAAAAGAAAAATGTCTATTTGAGCATGAAGATAAAGGAGAAGATAGAGGAACTTCTGGTAGGATCGAGAGTCTAACATTTAAACTTATTGAGCTCCTTTTTACATGCTCTCTCTTAATCCTCGTGCCAAATTAATACAATTTCACTTCAATATCAGCTTTGACAGAGTGGCACTTTTTAATGCTTGAAGACATTTGAGTTCACTTTCGTTCATTTTTATTTTATCATAGTTAGATACCTCATTGGGTATCAGAAGTTTTACGCTATTCCTCTTGGCATTTTTATCCACTAAAAAAACATACTGTGTGTCTAGTACGATGCCTCATGGTCTGTAGTCCAATGCTTTGGGATGCCTGAGTGAGTAGATTGCTGAGGCTAGGAGTTTGGAGCCAGCCTGGGAAACCATAGCAACTCGCTCTCTACAATAAGTTCAAAAAATTGGCTGCCGCAGTGTCACCCCTGCGTAATCCCCAGCACTTTGGAGGCGAGGCAAGAGGATCACTTGAGGTCAGGAGTTCGACACTGCCTGGCCACATGGTGAAACCTGTCTCTTAACTAAACACTACAAAAAATACAAAAAAAAAAAAAACAGATGCGTCGGCTGGCAGGCGCCTGAATATCCAGCCTCTCAGGAGACTGAGAAAGTAGAATTGCTTGAACCCAGGAGGCAGAGGTTGCAGTGAGCCCAGATTGTGCCACTGCACTCCAGCCTAGGTGACAAGAGCAAGATTCCATCTCAAAATAAATAAATAAATAATAGTTAAAAAAGTAAGCAGGCATGGTGGTACATGCCTATAGTCCCAGCTACTTGAGAGGCTGAGGCGGAAGGATCACTTGAGCTCAGGGAATCAAGGCTGCAGTTAAGATTTTGCCACAGCACCCTAGCCTGGGCAACAGAGTAAGATCCTGTCTCAAAAAAAAAAAAGCAACTGTGAGGACTGAGTTGTTGTTTTTAAATCACATTTCTTGCATAAATCAATTACAGGGCATGTGGCCTTATATTTACAGGGCAGTTTATGTTTGACACCATGGGTATGACCAACATTCTGAACAACCAAGAGACTGCACAAGCTCTGGCAGATAGATTGATGGAGTTGTCAAAAGAAGATTCTGTAAGTGTTTTCTCTGAAGAAAGTAAACTATGAAAACCAACATTTAAATACATTCTGTTTGCAGTTATTATTAATTTTTTTGACCAGTTTATCCCTTTCAGCGCACAATTCCTCAGAGAAATGACATCAGTTTATGAGAACAGCCACTAAGGATTCTGGGCACAAGATGTGTTAAGTACACAAGACAGACAAGTAGGAAAATCTTCTAGGTTATTTAAAGTTTATTACATTGTGCCCTGTTTTCTGTCTTGTGCTTAATTTCAGTCAGAAGTGACTTTTTATATATATATATGTAAAACATGCTAGTGGCTTTATATTTCACATAAACTTTACTCAACAGTGAAACCAATTCCCAGTTTGAGGAGAAACCTGAGAAAGTGTGACCCAGATGTGAAAAGATGAAGGGAAGGGGTGCTAGATGAGAGAGGAAGGGAAAGCGAACACAACAGAACAGAAAGAAGCAAATCAGTAATTCGGTTGGGGATGGGTGTAGGAGAAGCCCAAAGAAACAATTTCATCAGACACAGATCCAAGATTCTCTCTCATTAAGGTCAGTCTACACTTCAGAGAACAGTGAGAAGAAGCCAGTCCACATTTCAGAAAATGGTGAGAGGTCAGTCTCCAGACAGCTCTCACAGCCCCAAAGAGGACAGCATGGCTATAGGAATATGCAGTGTGGCCAGGCTCACACCTTTAATCCCAGCACTTTGGGAGGCTGAGGCAGGCAGATCATTTGAGGTCAGGAGTTGGAGACCAGCCTGGCCAACATGGTGAAACCTCATCTCTACTAAAAATACAAAAATTAGCTGGGCATGGTGGTGGGCACCTGTAATCCCAGTTACTCAGAGGGCTGAGGCAGGAGAATCGCTTGAACCCGGAGGTGGAGGTTGCAGTGAGCTGGGGTCGTGCCACTACTGCACTCCAGCCTGCGTGACAGAGACTCAGTCTCAAAAAAAGAAAGAAAGAAAGAAAGAAAGAAATGCAACGTGCAGCTCTCCATCTGAGGGAAGTCAAGAATACGAATAGGATGGAGATAGGGCTGATGTTAACATATTCAATAACCTAAATTCTCCAGTTTCCAAGGAATTCTCAAGGAGAGTCTCAAATCTTTCTTTTCCACCATCATAATTCTACTTTGTGGGTGAGTTTAACACTGTCTCTGCACACGTTCTCTCTCTCCTTATTATCGAGTATCTGCTCCTGTTTCAGTGTGGCTTCTGGGTCTGCACCAGGCATCTCTGGGCGTAGCTGTTCTGCACTGAGTGGGGGCTGCGAAGCTGCATTAGCTGTAGTTTGTCTTCTGTGAAGTCTCAGCTACGCAGTGAGGCTCAGGCAGCCCAATGACGAAAGGCCTTTGGCGAGTCTTGCTGATAAAATGAGCAGGGATATTCACAGAGATGCCCCCGCACTGTCTCCCAAAACACCAAAGGATTACTCAGCGTGCTTGGTGTCAGTTCAGTGTACTTATTTCCACCTAATTATTTAAAAATAACCATGTATGATATAATTGGGATGGTGCTCAAACCTATAGCCTGAGAGGGAACCAAATTTGAGAGGCCCAGCATGTTTTTCCTAGCAATTCTGCTACTGCAGCCTCTTTCCCAGGCCTTCTTCTTCACCCGTGAAAGACGACAAGATCCCTCCTGTTCCCTTTCCTCATTTGGCCGAGGGGATGGTGTGGGCCACTTTGGTTCCAAAGATCTTGAGAGACCCTCCCATAAAACTTTGGTGTCTTAACTGGATTGTGACAAATTGTTGAGAACCAGGAGTACGTATGGTAACTGGAATATGAGATTAACTAGAAAGTCTCATGTACTGACTCGAATTGAGTACTAGTCGCTCGGTTTTCTGGACATGTAAATTAATTAGGTAGAAAGCTGAAATCCCTGCTAAAAAGTGTGTTCTCTCTTCTGCTGCACTGTTAACACCTGTATTTCAGATGAATGTTTTAAATGGGAATTTTTCTTGGCGGGGCGGGTGGGGGGCATTCTTTAGGACAAACCTCTGGAATTTTTGTCATATTTTCTACTGAAGAAACGTGGTACAGAGAGCAAAGATTTTGAAGGAAATGTTATTCCAACAAAATGTGACCCAAAGACAACATTCAGTTTATTCATGAAGGTAAAGTTGCTGCTGCATTTTTATGCCGTTGCTTTTTTGTAGAGTTAGACCCACGTGATAAAGAAATTCATAAACCATTATATAAGCTCTATTGGGAAGCTTTAACTTGTCATTTCTCCAAAGAATTTTATTTTCATGAAGTATTATTAAAAAGGGTGTTTTGTAGTTTCATAATATGAGTAATACTTAAGCCACTTAAAAGCATGACCTGCACTATGTTAACTTGAGCAGCACTATTTGGTTGTGGGGGAAAGTTAGAAATTTGCATTTTGCTTTGCCATTTATACAGTTGAGCCTTGAGAGAACTTCAGGGGAATTTTTTTTGAGGGGGGTGAAACTAAGAATAGTTCTGTTTTTTCTTAGCTGAGATTCAAATTCATTGAAGAAAAAAAATGGGTTTAAAGTGAGTTCTGACTGGGCGCGGTGGCTCACGCTTGCAATCCCAGCACTTTGGGAGGCCCGGGCGGGCAGATCATTTGAGGTCGGGAGTTCAAGACCAGCCTGGCTAACGTGGTGAAACCGCATCTCTACTAAAAATACAAAAATTAGCTGGGCATGGTGGCACGCCTGTAATCCTAACTACTCAGGAGACTGAGGCAGAAGAATCACTTGAACCCGGGGAGGTTCAGTGAGCAGAGGTCACACCACTTCACTCCAGCCTGGGCAACAGAGTGACACTCTGTCATAAATAAATAAATAATTAATAAAGCTAGTTCGTCAGGCAAAAAAGAATAATTTTGCAAGTGCTATATTCAGAATCCAAGCATTCTTGGTTACATGAAATAACCAGGATTCAAGAAATGCTGAGAATTATGTTTTCATTCACATAGCTGATTTCTATGTAGGGGAAAATACTGTTTTAGAACCATTTTATGTCCATAGAGAAGTCACCTTTGATGTTTGAAGGCGTGGGATGGCAGTCCCTAACACAAACTCACCATGGGGGGCTGTTAGGAGTAAGAGACTTATGAGCACCCCTAGCAGGCAAATCATTTGTTGCCTTATTAACCTGATATTCTGGAAGTATTTGTTAATGCTTCTTTAAAGGACAGTGCAGGGCCGGGCAGGAGCACACACGGAGGACTGCTGGTGGCAGCATCCCCTCTGCCTGCCGCCCCAAATGAACTCAGCAGCACATACCTGCCATCATTAAGACCCATGCTTGGCTGGGTGCAGTGGCTCAGCCTGTAATCCCAGCCCTTTGGGAGGCCAAGGTGAGTGGATCACTTGAGGCCAGGAGTTTGAGACCAGCCTGGCCAACATGGTAAGACCCCGTCTCTACTAAAAATACTAAAATTAGCCAGGCGTGGTGAGGCACACCTGTGGTTCCAGCTACTTGGGAGGCTGAGGCAGGAGAATCGCTGAACCAGGGAGGTAGAGGTTGCAGTGAGCCAAGGTTGCGCCATTGCACTCCAGCCTGGGCAATAGAGCCAGACCCTATCTCAAAAAAAAAAAAAAAAAGACCTACCTTTCTGCTGTTACCATAGCACAACCCTTACTTTAGTCTTCCCCTTCCGCCACAAAGTGCCCAAGTGGCTTATTCTGCCCAATCACCTGATATAAGCATCTCCCTGAGAAAGGAGTCTTTATTTTATTTATTTATTTATTTATTTATTTATTTATTTATTTATTTATTTGAGATGGGGCCTCACTCTGTCACCCATGCTGGGGTACAGTGGCACAATTATAGCACACCATAGCCTTGAACTCCTGGGCTCAAGCCATCCTCTTGGTTCAGCCTCCCAATGTGCTGGGATTACAGGCCTGAGCCACCACGCCCAGCCATCCCAAGAGGAGTCTAAATGCCTTCCAGGGATATCTAAGCCCTTTACAGGCTGGAGCTCTGCTTGCTGGCCGCCCTGCCCCTAAATCGACCTTTTCAGGAAACTTCTCAAGCAGAGGGCAATTCCTCATCTTTTTAGTTTCATTCTCTAAATATTTGCAGGCGCTAACCACATGCTAGACCTTCTGCTAAATCCTGGGACTGGGCAGCAAAATAAGACAGTTCCTGCCTTTGTGGAGGATGAGGCCAATACATAAATAGGTGGTGCAGCATGATTAGCGCCTGTTAACAGGACGCGCGGGCTGGGATGGGAATCCCGGGGTGGGAACGCCAGATGGGCATTTAGTCCAGACTCCCCTTTCTGCTTGTCAGAGGCTGCCGTTTTTGTCTCATTATGCCAGCCACCATCTCTTTGAAATTCGTGGAGATAATTCTTCCCAAAAGGGTGGACATAGTCTCCATCCATCCTTTAGCCTATGAAAACCTGAAAAACAGCACCCAGGCCTCTAATACCATTCATTTTCCCCTGGTTCACTAAAGGGAAAGATCAACATATATAACCCCATTACACAGGTTCCAAATTCTTCCGAAGTCCTTTCAACATCTGCTGATTCCTGACTCCCTGGAAACTTTATTGGATTCTTTCACCCACTTTTATTCCTAAGGGTGAAGCTATCGCCTCAAACCCCAGGCATACAGATCCCAGAAAAGCCCCTCTTTGTAGCAAGAAAGCAATAAGGACAAAACTAAGGTGCTTCCTCCTCTGAAGTGCCACTCTCACATTTGAAAGACCTAACTCTTGGTGAGAACCATTTCTGGGATCATTGACACCTAAGGGAACGATGACTCGGAGCAGTTCCTCTGAGACTCTTTCTCCTCAAGTTCCTCTGCCAAATAAAATTGAAACTGAATGACGTCTTTTCAACTGGCTGTTGACCCGAACAGCTAATCATGTTCATAAAATAATGCATGAAATTTGGGCTGAAAGTTCCTTATTGCTGGAAATCAGGCCCTCTGATATTACATTGTCTGCCTGTAATAAAACTGGAAAAATGCAAAACTCCTTAATGCCTGGAAATTTCTTTGATTTTTTAAAAAATTGAATTAGAAAAAATACGTATTCGATTCTCATTTGATTCTCTACTATTTAACACTAAAGAGCTTGGACACAAAGCCCACAAAAGAAATGCAGAGACCTCTAGGAGGAAGAACCACAGCTAAATGTCAGTGTTGAATTAGGATAAAAATAGAAAAGCTGATTTTCCTTACATTAGGGTTTATTTTTAAACCTGGATATTCACTCAGAAGCCTCAGGAGACAAAGGAGGGGAAAGTGAAAGCTTCTCTGAGATAATTGTTTTAAAGACCCTTCCAGCCGGGTGCAGTGGCTCACGCCTATAATCCCGGCACTCTGGGAGGCCAAGGTGGGTAGATCACCTGAGGTCAGGAGTTCGAGACCAGTCTGGCCAAAATGGTGAAATCTTGTCCCTAAGAAAAACACAAAAATTAGCCGGGCATGGTGGCAGGTGCCTGTAATCCCAGCTACTCAGGAGGCTGAGGCAGGAGAATCCCTTGAACCTGGGAGGCAGAGGTTGCAGTGAGCCAAGATTGCAGCACTGTATTCCAGCCTGGGTGACAAGAGCAAGACTCCATCTCATTAAAAAAAAAAAAAAAACCCCTCCCAGAGAGGCTTGTGTAATAGGGATTATCTGTCAAATCCAGGACTGTGTGTGTGTGTCCATCCATGTATCTATCTATCCATCCACCTACCTACCTACCTACCTACCTACCATCCTGCTGCCCAGTGATTATTTGCTCCTGGTTTTTGTCTGCCTATAATGTTTACACTGATACCATGCAACCATGGTGATGGCTGGCCGCCAGAATTATAATTGTTCCTGAACTCTACCTGTCATTTTCACAACTATTTCTGGCCCCTAATCCAGGCAGCTGTGTGCTTGCTGGCAGAAGCATCAGCAATGACTAGAATGTCTCTGGAAAATAGTGTCTGCCTATGCTCCATCCTAGAGAAAAATTCCTAACATGTTCTCCGAGCTTTTTTTTAATGGTCTTCCTTATATGTCCTGGAGAGCCAAGGCAAAGACCCACCAACCCAAAATGATCGTTGTCTTATAAATGTGCAAAGTTTCTGCCATGTTACTTCGTCTGAATTCATCCATAAAAACTAAGTAAAAGATAGCATCAGAATCTAGAATTAAGCTGTAAAAATTCTGGCAGTTAAACATATAATATAAAATGAGTGACCTTGCCAATTTTAGGTTCGAACAAAATTACTATGCCGAATCAATGTCCTATCCACAAAGAAAAAATTATATTTAAAAAAGTGAGTTGGCCGGGCGCGGTGGCTCAAGCCTGTAATCCCAGCACTTTGGGAGGCCGAGACGGGCGGATCACGAGGTCAGGAGATCGAGACCATCCTGGCTAACATGGTGAAACCCCGTCTCTACTAAAAAATACAAAAAAACTAGCTGGGCGCGGTGGCGGGCGCCTGTAGTCCCAACTACTCGGGAGGCTGAGGCAGGAGAATGGCGTGAACCCGGGAGGCGGAGCTTGCAGTGAGCTGAGATCCGGCCACTGCACTCCAGCCTGGGCGGCAGAGCGAGACTCCGTCTCAAAAAAAAAAAAAAAAAAAAAAAAAAAAAAAAGGGTGAGTTGCTGCTGAGCCGGAATGTGAAACAAAGCCCAATTGTAAGTGAGCAGGTTCTAAAATAGTCAAGGTGGTCTGGGGGTTCCATGATGACACCTGAATTTTAATGCATAAACTTTCATGTGAGCCTGTGTAGTCAGGTGATCTCCCAGAGACAGATGGCTCCCTTATCTGTGAGATCCACAATACAATTGTGTGCTGTTTGCATTATCTTAATCTTGGTCCAACTTGAGAGTTTTTGTTTTTGTTTTTTGAGACAGCCTCACACCATCACCCACGCTGGAGTGCAAGATACTGGCGGGGCACAGTGGCTCATGCCTGTAATCCCATCACTTTGAGATCCCAAAGCAGGAGGAGCACTTGAATTTGAGACCAGCCTGGGCAACATAGTGAGACCTTGTCTCTAAAAAAATAATGAACAAAATTAGCCAGGCATGGTGGCGTGTGCCTGTAGTCCCAGCCACTTGGGAGGCTGAGGTGGGAGGATCAATTGAGCTTGGGAGGTGGAGGCTGCAGTGAGCCAATATTGCACCACTGCACTCCAGCATGGGTGAAAAAGTGAGACCCTGTCTCAAAACGAAACAAAGTAGATCTCCTCCCTCCGCCCAAACCATAAGTATGGATACATGCTGGGCTGGTATGAGACAGCCACAGAGCAGAGGACAAAAGAAATCATAAGAAGATTCCCTGGAGCAGACAGGAAGCACTTAGGCTCAGGCGAGACCTCCTGCCATCTAGGACTAGAGCTAGCTGGCTGCAGCTTTGCAGACCTGGGTTCTTCTGCAGAGGCTCAGGCTGCCAGAGCAATGTGGCATCTCCAAAATAAAAATTTGTTTTTGCCTCAGTAGAGTAAGGTAAAAGGAGTCTTGGCTACAAATTGAAGTTATTCTTCCAGCATCATCCCTGGACATCCAAGGGTTGCCATTGGTAGTTTCGTCGTTGATGAGGAAGGCAGCAATAACGGCCGCTGACCATGATCGTCCCTCAACATAAACACAGGACCATTGCTCTGTTGCCAGGGTGGACCCTGCGGTGCTGCAGGCAGCAGGGGTGGGGGTGGAGGGCTTTTTAAAAAAATGTGCTAAGTTTTAGGGAGGCCACAGTAAGAATAGTTAACAAGGTAGTGAAGAAAGAATAAGCCTTATTTAAATATGCCGGTCTAGAAAGGGTATGCAAACTGTTTTTGACACATTTTCACTTGGTGGAAAAAAAAGGAGTGAGTTTTGTGAGCTTTTCCTTCTGGATCTTAAAAATAAAATAACCTATTTGCCCTCAACTGAGAAGGAACAGAGCAGAGCTGAGGCAGAAGCCTCTTACCTAGCCAGGCTCGGTGGCTCATGCCTGTAATCCCAGCACTTTGGGAGGCCGAAGCGGGCGGATCACCTGAGGTCAGGAGTTCCAGACCAGCCTGGCCAACATGGCGAAACCCCATCTCTACTAAAAATACAAAAATTAGTGGGGCGTGGTAGCGGGCCCTGGAAGCCCGCTCCTCAGAAAGCTGAGGCAGGAGAATTGCTTGAACCTGGGAGGCGGAGGTTGCAGTGAGCCGAGATTGTGCCATTGCACTCCAGCCTGGGTGACAGAGTGAGACTCCGGCTCAAGAAAAAGAAAAAAAAAAAGAAGCCTGTTATCCAGGAATGTGTGTGAGTCTCTAAGCCTGGGAGGAGCCCCAGGCCAGCATGACTCCCCTGGCTCCCAGGGAAGAGGGAGCTTTGCTGGATTTAGTTTTCAAGTATTATGTAGTTCAAAGGAAGCAAAGTCTATTTTTAAAAACCATAAAATTTAAGAGTGGCATCCCATTTGCAAGCACTTAACTTATTGTGTGTAGGGAACACTGTGGTTGGGGCTGAAGGCAGAGGCTTCTGAGGGCCTCCTGCAGGCACAGTACTGAGTTTTCAGAGATGCCAAGACCTGCCTCCAATAACCAAGTTTCCATTCAATCTTCAGGAAAGAAGTGTTGTAGAAGACAATTCTTGGGACACAAAGTCCAGGTTCAGCAAAAATGATTTAAATTTTGAAGCACTGATTAATCTGGTAAGCTAATTATTACATAATGTAAATTTACCATTGGTTTTGCTCCTGACAGTGAAATTTCAGCCTTTATTCTGGTTAGTTCTTTGTTTTCCTTGAAAATTTCCCTTTGGGGGATTAAAAGAAAAACCTCAAGTATAATTAGAGGTAATTCAGCTGGCAGACTTATTTTTCAAATAAGCCCTGGACTGAAAAGAAGTTGAGCCAGAAGGACAGCAGTGTAACCATCTTGGAGCAAAACCAATCTGTATGTTACTCCCTGACTTTCCTCTATGATACTAGGATGTCTTTTAAAGAAATGGCATGGGGACAAAGCCTCACAGTTTCTAATTAATCTACCAACTTACAGTCTGACTTCAAAAGTTGAGTCTAATGAACGCAATGTCTAGGGCTCCGTCTTTCTATGTCAAAGGTAAAGTGTGGAGGAAGCTGCAGCCTCGGCAGAGGCCAGTCCCATCCTGTGTAGCCCAGGGCATGGCACGTTGTTTTGTTTTCTTCAACACACAAACACACTTATTATCACCTTTCATTCTCAAAATCCTATAAAAGACACATTCCTAGCCACATTTTATAGACAAAGGACTAGAATTAAGAAAAGTTACATGGGGGAGAAAAAGTCAAATGACTTCCCTAAGGCCAGACAATTGGGCAAGAAAAATCTTAAGTCCTGCAGCCCTGAGCTCAGACCTGGGGCTCTCTCCCAGCCCCAGACACCCTCGCTGTATCCGTCTGCTGCAGACAGCGCAGGCCGTGGAGCCCCAGGACATGGGTGCCCACTCGCCCCAAACCCATCCCTAGGAACTCCCAGGAGGAACGTGTTGCATAGAGCAGGGGATATGAGGGTATCTCATCTGACTATTGGTAATCATACCTGACAGTGGTTTCAAGATAACAACTAAAGGTTTGACAATGAAAACCTTAGTTCAAAATGATTATAAATGTTGGATAACTCCAATATTTAAAAATATATACATATAGAAATACACATATAATATTAAAAAATAATATGGGCTGTAAGCCAACTGACAAGTGGGATGCAGATGTATTTTTTACCTCATTAGATATGTCTAAATAGGTAGTCTATACAGACCATGTGTTTGGAAAATAAGAAGAGTTTGGCAGCTCATGCTTGCAATCCCAGCACTTTGGGAGGCCAAGGTGGGTATATCACTTAAGCAGAGGAGTTTGAGACCAGCCTGGGCAACATGGCAAAACCCTGTCTCTACAAAAAAAAAATACAAAAATTAGCCTGTTGTGGTGGCTACTCTGGTGGCTGAGGCAGGAGGATCGCTTGAGCCTGGGAGGTCGAGGCTACAGTGAGCCATGATTGCACCACTGCTCTTCAGTGTGGGTGACAGAGGGAGACCCTGTCTCAAAATAAAAAAACTGAAAAAAAGAAAAGTGTGTTTATAGTATTTCAACTACAGTGAGTTCTCTCATTTTTCTCTTAAGCTATTTTTACATTATAATTCCAGTTAGTGAAATTATGGTTAACGCATCTTGGTGAAGATCACATAGCATTACACATTTTTTCATTTTAAACAAGACACTTATTTAAACAACAGGGTGCTTGACTTGAAGGAAAAACTATCTGGGAATCATTTTTATCAACTAATTGATCCTCACTTAAAGACAGATTGTCCTACATATAAGAGGTAGGTACAGAAATGTTATAAAATTTGCCCTTCATGTTACAATGATAAATGAAAAACATTTGAATTCTCCAATTGAACAAGGTATGCAAGGATTTATATATATATACACACACACACACACACACATATATACACACACATATATACACATATATATATATGACTATTGGTAATAATACCTGACAGTGGTCTCAAGATAACAACAAAAGGTTTGACAATGAAAACATATATATATATATATATATGTATATATTGCTGTTGTTAAAACAATGAGAGCAAAATAACAGATTGGAATATAAAGATAACTGCTGAATGTGCATCCCATGAAGGGAGAAAAGAGGTGTTTTTTTTTTTTTTTTTTGAGACGGAGTCTTGCTCTGTCGCCCAGGCTGGAGTGTGGTGGCACGATCTCGGCTCACTGCAACCTTGGCCTCCCAGGTTCCAGTGATTCTCCTGCCTCAGCCTCCTGAGTGGCTGGGATTACAGACATGTGCTAACAGGCCTGGCTAATTTTTGTATTTTTAGTAGAGACAGGGTTTTGTCATGTTGGTCAAGCTGGTCTCGAAATCCTGACCTCAGGTGATCCAGCTGCCTCGCCCTCTCAAAGTGCTGGCATTACAGGCGTGAGCCACTGTACCTGGCCAAGGAGGTCTTTTCACAGAAGCATTTTTCACCTTCTCATCTCCATTTGTGTTGATCAACACGTATCATTAGCCACTAATTTTTTTAAAAATCCTTGTGCACATTCATCAGTTAACCTTATGTACAACAAAGGAATGGTGAAGGAAATGAAAGAACAGAGAAAACTATACTGTAATAGTTAGGATGTAGTGGAACCAAATTGCAGTTGAGAATGCACCCTTGGTCTGTAAGAATAGCCTCTGGCGTAAAGCAGCAGGTTCTCTTTTTACTGGACTCCTCCTTCTGCTGCTGAAACACATCAATTGCATCTTTAACCTCCATTTCCAATTTTGCAGGTGTTTCTGTTTCACTGATTGGCCATCTGACAAATTGGAATCTGATCCACCTCATTGACAAGCCTTGCTTGTCATTAGTTTACAAAGTGTACTAAGTAAGCTAAGTTTATTTAGTTTACTTAGTGGTTATTACTAAGTGGTGTGTGCCTGTTAATCTTAAATTGTACCAAGGAACCATCCTGCCCACCACCTTAAAATTAATGTGAGCAGTTCTGACTCCTTCCTTGAGCCTTCTGTTTACCATGGTGAGTGCTGGAGTTACCTCAGGTCTGCACTGAGTGAGAACACAAGCAGCACCAGGAGTGGCGGAAGCAGTATTGTCATATTTTATTGGGGGGAGTGTGGGGTATATTTAGGGCTGGAGGGAAAATAATAATCCTAGGCTCAAATTGAAGGACATTATGTTTTTGAAATTTAGATATTATAGATTTTCTGTTATAAAGATGCTCATTTTATAGCTTTTGACACATGCAGATAAAAGAAAAAAAATATCTAGTACCAGCAATAAAAAGTAATTTCTCTCTCCATATAAACATAGCACACACAACATCAGGCTATGGAATGTCTTTAGGCTAGTGTATGATTTTCACCTCTGCATTAAAAAATAAAACAAGAGGCTGGGCATGGTGACTCACACCTGTAATCCCAGCGCTTTAGGAGGCTGAGGTGGGTGGATCACAAGGTCAAGAGATCGAGAACATTCTGGCCAGCATGGTGAAACTCTGTCTCTACTAAAAATACAAAAATTATCTGGGCATGGTGGCATGCACCTGTAGTCCCAGCTACTTGGGAGGCTGAGGCAGGAGAATCACTTGAACCCGGGAGGCGAAGGTTGCAGTGAGCAAGATCGCACCACTGCACTTCAGCCTGGACTAAAGAATGAGACTCCATCTCAAAAGAAAAAAAGTAAAATAATAAATAAATAAAACAAGAGTTGGAAATATAACATAGCACATCTGGCAACCTGGCTAGCCAGGAGAGATGGGCTCATAGCTCCAAGTCTATCCTTAATACTGAAGTTAGATCCTTAATACTGAAAGAAGAGCATATGCTTCAGATTTTTCATATGTCAGTTGGAGAAGCAAACTAGCTAATAATAAAAAGCTGTCTTCACCTGTTCATGCTGCTGCAATAGAATACATGAGACTGGGTAATCTACAAAGAACAGAAATTCTTTATGAGGCTGGGAAATCTAAGATCAAGGTGCTAGCATCTGTCAAGGGCCTTCTCTTGGAGTATTCACATGGTGGAAGGCAAGAGAGGACCAATTCCCTCTGCCAAGCCCCTTTCTAAGGGCACCTGATCCCATACATGAAGGAGGAGTCCTCATGACCCAGTCATCTTTTCACGGCTCCACTTCTTAATACTGTCACATTGGCTACACCTGAATTTTGGAAGGGACACATTCAAACTGTAGCAGAGGGCTAGCTCATTTCAGTTTTTCTATTTGCAGGATAATCAATAAAACACTACTTGGAAAAAGAAATAGGAAAACAAACAAGGGTAGACAAGCCAAAGGCTTCCTCACTAGACTGTAACCTCCATGAAGACAGGACTCTGTCTTGTTCTCATCATTACATGGCCAGCACCAGCATAAGATACCTAATATTGATTTGGATGGACAGATGGATAAAAGTAAATTTTCAAACTGCCTTCCTTTAGATCCAAGATTAAAATTCCCCTCTCTACTTGGCCATCAGGCTGGCCTGATATGAGGGGCTCTCTGGTGATACTGGGAACAAGTGATGGACAGCGGGGTCCTCCACAGCCCCCTGTGAAGTCCCCTTCAACCTGAACAGCACAAACCAGCAAGGGGTGGTGGGGGGGAGTTCTCCATGTAGCTGCCTGACTGCTCAGCACTTCTACTTCTCCATCACTGACTTGAGTTCTTAACACTTCTCTACAGGAGAGAATACTCCAGAAGGATTCAGCAGAAAAGCGAACTAGAGTTGTCAGGGAACTCTTACAGAGTGAGAGAAAATACGTGCAGATGCTGGAAATTGTGAGAGATGTTTATTTCGCACCACTGAAAGCAGCACTGTCATCAAACAGAGCAATTCTGAGTGCTGCCAATATCCAGATCCTTTTCTCTGATATTCTACAGATTTTAAGTCTTAACAGGTAAATCCGGAATATGTATTTTTTTAAGTATTCATTGTGCACTGAGAAGAGCCCATACTTTAATGTTTCTAAAGCTGCATGGAGGTGCAATGATGCTCTGCCCCTCTCAGGGACCCTGATTATAGCAGAGAGATCGTCATCACATTACCTACCGGGCTGCAACCAGTAGTAATTCCCAAGGACACCCCTTCCCTGGTTCCTAGCCATGGCGCAAGGAGTGGCGTTCAGGACCTAGGCTTTTTGTAACCCCGCGGTCCCCAACCTTTTTGGCACCAGGAACCAGTTTCATGGAAGACAATATTTACATAGACCAGGGGTGGGGGGAATGGTTTCGGGATGATTCAAGCGCATTACATTTATTACGCACTTTATTTCTATTATTATTACATTGTAATATATAATAAAATAATTATACAACTCACCATAATGTAAAGCAGTAGGAGCCCTGAGCTTGTTTTCCTGCAACTAGATGGTCCCGTCTTGGGATGATGGGAGACAGTGACAGATCATCAGGCATTAGATTCTCATAAGGAGCATGCAACCTACATCCCTCAAATGTGCAGTTCACCACAGTGTTTGCACTCCCATAAGAATCTAACGCTGCTGCTGATCTGGAGCTCAGGCAGTAATGCAAGCAGTAGGGAGCGGTTGTAAATATCAATGAAGCTTCACTCACTCAACCGCCACTCACCTCCTGCTGTGCGGCTGGGTTCCTAACAGGCCATGGACCAGAACCATCCACGGCCTGGGGGTTGGGAATCCTTGCTGTAACCAATAGACAGTCCATGCAAAAGACAGCAGGAAGGAGGAGAGCCATATACTCATTCTTAATCAGCAGTGTTCAGTTAAGCAATGGGAAAAAACCAGAAGGATTTAATGGGATTAAGCCACCAGGACACTTAGCTTAGAAAGCCCAAGCTGGGGGTCAATTTAATAACAACATATTTTCAAGTGCCTAACATGAGAGAGAAAAGTGATCATTTCTGCCTGTGGTAAAGGGAGGCAACCTGAGTATGTGCTTCCCCGATGGTGACTCTCTAGGTAACTTGGAACAAGTTCCTTCCTCTCAATGGGCCCCGGTTCCTACGGTGAAGAGGTTGAACTAGGCCTCTTCCAGTGTTGAAGGCCTCTGATAGATGAATGAGGGATTTTCTTAGAGCCCTGGGGAAACGGGCCAAGCAGGGACTATGGCACTCCCTGTTGAAGACAGTGGAGCACTCCCCTCTAAAAACTGTAACAACTTTCACCCACCTGCCTATCTGGAGGCAAGAGACTGGGACATCAGGCGGCAGCTGTATCGTGGCCAGTGTGTGGTTCTGACTCAAGGAACTAAAGTGAAGAGGTGGGATTCTACCCCAACCAACCTACTCCTTCACGTCCCAGTTCCCTTTCCTGTCAAATATGCACTTCTCTGTATTAAGAAGAAATGACTTGACCAAAACCCTACTGTAAAGGACTAGGCTGAAAATGCCCGTGCTGATGACAATGGATATTTGGGTTTGTAAGTTATCTCAAGTGAATATTTCATGCTTATGCTCTTCTCATACCACAGGCAGTTTCTAGATAACCTGAGAGACAGACTACAGGAATGGGGCCCAGCTCACTGTGTGGGAGAAATAGTCACGAAGTTTGGAAGCCAGTTGAACACATATACCAATTTCTTCAACAATTACCCTGTCATTCTGAAAACTATTGAGAAGGTAAATGAATTTCAATCCCATCATTCTATAAGACCTGAGCTAGAAAGGAAGTTATGTGTGGAACCCGAAAGACCAGCGTTAATAAGAAAGGCTTCTCTGCTCTTAGCTCCCAGCTCTCTTCCCATACTGTGACCTCTGAGGACAGGAACCGTGACTTAGGGGCTAGCACAATATTTGACACCTAGCATTGCCAGGAACTGATTCCTGAACTGAACTCATCCTCATACAAACTATCAGGGTTTCACCTGCCCCAGATACCCTCAGCTTCCAGGAAAATGCTCCACAATTGAGCTTGGAATCCACTCTGCTACTACAATCCTGTGTGTCCTTGACAAGTTCACTCTCTCATGTAGAAAATTAATCATCCACAGCTTTTTTGGAAGAACAGTCAATTTCTGAAATGTCACTAGGAAGTAAGGAATGCCTTGATCTTACATTTCTTAGAGAGTAAATTATTAACAGTTTTCCCTTTTGCAATTTCTGCCATTCTTTACTCTGAGCAGGAATATCCAATTCCCTTCTATACCACCTGCTGCTCTTGTGGGATACCTTCTGCTGGGAATAAAATCCCTCTTTCTTCCCTCCTCATTTGGTATCGAAAGCCTAGAAAAGGCTACCTTGTCACACGGCAGCACACTTCTGCCAGAGTCCACTGTCACCACTCATCTTCACTGAGGCCTGCAGGAAAGTCCTGTGAGCTGGGAGGCCTCTGGAGGGCTCCTGCCCTTAACAGCTTCCTTTGTAGTATTCCTTCCCCCCACCCAGGGAGTCTGGTCACTGCTGGATAACTTGATGATTCAACAGTTGCATAAATAAGGTAGTTTCATAGGACTGACTTTGGCGACAAGAATTGGAGCAAAGCATCACATGGTATCAGGAACACGCTGGTGCCTAAATTTCTTTAGCTATAGATAATGATGCCTATTTCACTAGCACAGTGTGTGCATACAAGTAAGTACTTAGCTTAAATGTTAGCTGTTTAGTTGTGGGGTTTGAGACAGGGTTTCCCTCTGTCACCTAGGCTGGAGTGCAGTGCCATGATCACAGCTCCCTGCAGCCTCAACGTCCCCAGGCTCAGGTGATCCTCCCACCTTAGCCTCCCAAGTATCTAGGACTACAGGCATGTGCTACCACACCTGGCTAATTTTTTTTTGTATTTTTTTGTAGAGACCGAGTTTCACCATGTTGCCCAGGCTGGTCTTAAACTCCTGGGCTCAAGCAATCCGCCCAACTCTGCCTCCCAAAGTGCTGGGATTACGGGTGTGAGCCACCATGCCAGCCAATGTTAGCTATTAATCTGATTGAAATCCATAAATATTTCACTTGGTCTTAGCCGAAAGTCTGAGAATGAAATCATGAATATTTGATTTCTAGAAGTTAGCATTGCCAACATCTTTTAGGCATGGAAAAGGAGGTAACCTCACAGGTGCTTTAATAGTGATAAATGAATACATTTTAAAACAGATAAGGTAGGTGGGTGGCTCACACCTGTAATCCCAGCACTTTGAGAGGCCTAGGCAGGCGGATCACCTGAGGTCAGGAGTTCGAGACCAGCCTGGCCAACATGGCGAAACCCCGTCTCTACTAGAAATACAAAAATTAGCTGGGCATGGTGGCGGGTGCCTGTAATCCCAGCTACTCGGGAGGCTGAGGCAGGAGAATCGCTTGAACCCGGGAGGCAGAGGTTGCAGTGAGCTGAGATTATGCCACTCTACTCCAGCCTGGGTGACAGAGCGAGACTCTGTCCCAAAAAAAAAAACCCAAAAAACAAAAAAACAGATATAAAGTACAGTGGAACACCTGTATAATAAATATTACTATGGAAAACATAATTAATAGAAGCATTAAAGGTGAATACCATTAATAGTCAAGATCTTACTACACTGAAATAACATTTACTGTGTGACAGCCACTTTATGGATAGGATTGTTTTTTTCCCACACCACAAGCATTAGAGATGATATCTATGTTACAGATGAGAAAACTGAAGCTCAGAAAAGTTAAGTAATTTGATAAGGTTATATATTTGAGTTATTCTCATTCAAATCCAGGCCCACCTGGTTGCAAAGTACATTCTTATTTGTCTATACTGATTAAGTTCAATGAATAGGGTCAGGTCTATGTATAATTAAAACACATTTTTTTTTTTTTTTGAGACGGAGTCTTGCTCTGTCACCCAGTCTGGAGTGCAGTGGCGCGATCTCGGCTCACTGCAAGCTCTGCCTCTCAGGTTCACGCCATTCTCCTGCCTCAGCCTCCCGAGTTGCGGGGACTACAGCCGCCTCCCACCACGCCCGACTAATTTCTTGTATTTTTAGTAGAGACAGGGTTTCACCATGTTAGCCAGGTTGGTTTCGATCTCCTGACCTCGTGATCCGCCTGCCTCGGCCTCCCAAAGTGCTGGGATTACAGGCTTTACAGCCACAGTGCCCGGCTGACACACATTCTTAACATACTAGGAAGACACCAATGGCACTGCTAATAGTCTAATTGGTTAGACATTGATGTTGCCCTTTTGCTTCAGGCATTCCATAGATCACGCTTGCTCAGTGAAACAGTGGACTTTATAACTATCTCATAAAGTTTTGACAAAATAATCCTCACCTTTTAGTGCAGAGAAATGATACCAGCATTCCGAACTTTCCTGAAGAGGCATGATAAGACCATTGTTACCAAAATGCTGAGGTATGTTCTGAGGGAGAGCACAGCAGGGACCCCCCCAGAGAGGGCATTCCTGGGCCTTCAGAGACCAGAGTTCCTTTCTCTATGCCTCATACAGCCTGCCGGAGCTGCTGTTGTACCCATCCCGAAGATTTGAAGAATATCTTAATCTTCTCTACGCTGTCAGGCTTCATACCCCTGCAGAGCATGTTGACCGTGGGGACTTGACCACTGCAATTGACCAAATCAAAAAATATAAAAGTTATATAGATCAGGTTGGTTGCTGATAAGAATCTGCATCCTTTAAATATGTTACAATGCCTTTGTGATACTCCCACTCAAAGAGTCTGAGACACCTTATCTTCTTGTGGGGTTCTTTGCTTTAAAGTCTTTCATCCTTTTAATGCTAAATCAACAGTGTGTTCAGTGATTTCCAACACTAAGGGCATCTATTCTAAGCCAAGCAACATGAGACAATGTTTTCAGATATTTGTACAAATACAATAAAATTTTTATGAAAGTTTGAAGAATGAAGTATTTGGACTGATTTTTTACACAACTAAAAGGCAAAAAAATAAAAAATAAAAAAAAGTAAAATCCTTTGTTTCTGAAAGTACTTTTTTGTTTGTTTGTTTGAGACAGAGTCTCGCTCTGTCGCACAGGCTGGAGGGCAGTGGCGCGATCTCAGCTCACTGCAAGCTCTGCCTCGCGGGTTCAGACCATTCTCCTGCCTTAGCCTCCGCAGTAGCTGGGACTACCGGCGCCTGCCACCACGCCTGGCTAATTTTTTGTATTTTTAGTAGAGACGGGGTTTCACCATGTTAGCAGGATGGTTTGAGTCTCCTGACCTTGTGATCCACCCGCCTTGGCCTCTCAAAGTGCTGGGATTACAGGCGTGAGCCACCGGGCCCGGCCTCTGAAAGTACTTTCAATGCATTAATTAGCTTTCCTGCCTCAGTGAGTACGATGATCATAATTATTATCTGAAGAAGTAATTAAGCACCTTGGAGACAGTACTATCATTCTGAAAATATTATTGTATTGTGCATACTGTAAATAGGCATCTGGGCTGAATGTAAACTGCTAACATATTTTTCCATGAAGATACTTTTTTGCATCCAATTTTGTCCCTTGCCTTTGTTTTAAAACATTGGGTACAGAGAATTGATTTTTTTTTTTTTGGAGACAGAGTCTGGCTCTGTCATCAAGGCTTGAGTGTAGTGGTGTGATCTCGGCTCACTGCAACCTCTGCCTCCCTGGTTCAAGCAATCCTCCCACCTCAGCCTCTTGAGTAGCTGGGACCACAGGCAGGCGCCACCATGCTTGGCTTTTTTTCTTTTTTTTGGTAGAGATGGGGTTTCACCATGTTGTCCAGGCTGGTCTTGAACTCCTGAGCTCAAGCCATCTGCCCATCTCAGCCTCCCAAAGTGCTGGTATTACAGATGTGAGCCACTGCACCAAGCCCAGAAATTGGAAACTTTCTATTATAACATATGAAAATACCAAGCCCTGTATCAAGTGCCATAAAATATTTTAATCTATTTCTTTTATGAATAAAAATGTCACAATTTTAGTTTGCCTAAAAGTACTTTTTTTCCCCTAGATGAAGCAAAACATCAATATGAAGGATCATCTGTCAGATATACAGAGAATCATCTGGGGATGCCCTGTATGTATTCTTAGGAACTTGCTATATCTCATGCTCATGAATACAACCTCCAATCATTGGCAAAAGGAGACCTACAGACCCCAAGGCAGCTACTATTTGTGGAATGCCTGCTACGTGCCAGGCACTGCCACGCCCTCCCATTTCACATCTTTCTTATCTGCAAGGTTGCTCTATAAGAAGGGGCACAAGTGAGCTTGCCCCTATCCCATAACTTTTCGATAGTCTTTGTTCCTTTATTGGTATTACTGTGATCACGATGCCCTTTGAGGAAAGGGGCCATGTGTTCTACTTATTTTCTTTTTTTCCGAGGCAGAGTCTCGCACTGTCGCCCAGGCTGGAGTGCAGTGGTGCAATCTCAGCTCACTGCAAGCTCCACCTCCCAGGTTCACACCATTCTCCTTCCTCAACCTCCTGAGTAGCTGGGACTACAGGAGCCCACCACCACGCCTGGCTAATATTTTGTATTTTTGGTAGAGACGGGATTTCACCATGTTGGCCAGGCTGGTTTCCAACATCTGACCTCAGGTGATCCACCCGCCTCGGCCTTCCAAAGTGCTGGGATTACAGGCGTGAGCCACTGTGCCCAGCCCACTTCTCTTTCTGAATAGTTCCCTTCTTATCCCCCAACCCCCAACTTTGTTTTTGATATTAGGAAAGCACTTACAAATAAAACTATAATTTCAGTAGTTTTAAAACTTTGACAAAAATTACTTTTTTTTTCCCTTAAATATAGTTTTCTTTGTCAATAATGTGGTCTTTCTAAGAAAATCTGTTTCATAAACAGTGAAAACATTCACTTTTTCATGTTTGAACTGTGTTTTACTTAACATTTGCATATTCTGGGATATAAAATGGTTTGCAGTGGTAAGTTTTTTTATTTAAAAAAATTTATATGTGCTTCTATTTTGTTTTTGATTTATAGACTCTATCAGAAGTAAACAGATATCTAATTAGGGTACAAGATGTAGCCCAACTTCATTGCTGTGATGAAGAAATAAGTTTCTCTCTAAGGTAAACAATAGTTAACTATCCTAAGGCTGTGGACACCTTCCAAGCAGGTGACTGTCTTACTCATCCTGTAGCTCCAGCATTCAGTACAATGTCTGACACAGTAGGTTTGAAATGAATCTGCGCATTAGACTGAAAAGTTACAGACAACTCCCTCTGAGATAGTGTAGGCTATTTTATCACCATGTTCGCATTCCAGCCAGCTACTGGGTAGAATGGGAGAAGAAAATTGTCCCTGCCAGGACCACAAACTCCACATAAGCAGGCATTCTAAAGGTTGGTCACTTTTCGTTCTTTTTTTTTTTTTTTTTTTGAGATGGAGTCTCACTCACTGCTGCCCAGGCTGGAGTGCAGTGGTGCAATCTCCACTCACTGCAACCTCCGCCTCCAAGCTATTCTCCTGCGTCAGCCTCCCTGAGATTACAGGCACCCGCTGCCATGCCCAGCTAATTTTTGTATTTTTAGTAGAGACAGGGTTTCACCATGTTGGCCAGGTTGGTCTCAAACTCCTGATCTCCAGTGGTCCACCTGCCTCGGCCTCCCAAAGTGCTGGGATTACAGGCATGAGCCACTGCACCCGGCCACTTTTCTACTTAGCTAAGCTCCAAGTGTTGCAGGATTTTCACACCAATGATCTGCTCAAATGTAAGAAAGAGAGGACCAATTTATTATCCTCAGATAGTTATTGAGGTCAGTTTTTAACAAGACCTTATGCTATTTAGTTTGCACGATGCTCAGAGTAACCTAAGGAAAAAAGATGGAAGGATGCTACTTTTTATAAATTAGTATCCCCTTTACTCCTTTAGAACAAGGGTGGGCAAAGTTTTCTGTAAACGTTCACATAGTAAGTATTTCACGTAGTAAAGATTTTGCTGGCCAAATGATATATGCGGCAACTACCCAACTTTGCTATTGTAAAACAAAATCAGCTCTACCAATGATGCAACACATAACAAGTGATACACTATTGATAAACCGTACAAGATATAAATGAACAAACATGACTATGTTCCAATTAAACTTCATTTACAAAAACAGGTGTGGGCCATAGTGTGGTGATCTCTGCTTTAGAAAACTGTTCATCAAACTATGAATAAAATAATAGAAATAACATAAATAACAAAATAATTAATAGAATAAAATAAAATTCTATTCTCATTCTTTCTTTCTGTATGTAAGTTTGATTTTCAGTATTAATGACAAAGAGTGACTCAGCAAACAGCAACCAAAGGGACAGGAATTAACTCCTTTAATTTGTTCACTTCCAATAAGCGTAATGAAAATTGATTTGTTATTTCAATGAATATTTCAACAAATGTTCCTCAACGGCACAAGGTAGCAGGGTAGGTGGAAGAAATCAGTCCCCTCACCTCCATCCTTACCTAGACTAGATCTTAAATGAAAATCAAATCACACAATATGTCACTTTTCTCATTGTCATGACATTTTTGTTTTCTTTGATCTGTTTTTTTGTTTGTTTGTTTGTTTTGTTTTGTTTTTTGGCTTGTAGCAATAGAAAAGAGCTACAATGATGGAAAGAAACTACCTACCAAACCAGCAATTCTAAACACACTGCTTTGGTAGAAGACATTCTGTGATGATTCCAGTTTTTGATTATTAGATTATTCTACATTCATGTATTCCTTCTCAAACACTCTTCCTTTCTTTACATAAGTTTGATTTTCTACATCATTTTTCTTCTCTCTGCAGAACTTCTTTTAACATTTCTTAATGTTCTACTAAGGTCAATGAATTCTCTCAGTTTGTGTGTGTGTAAAAAATTTATTGTTTGAAGGAAATTTTGCTGGATACAGAATTTTAGGTTGGTGGCTTTTTTCTTTTAACACTTTGTTTATTTCATTCCACACTCTTCTTACTTACATGGTTTCTGAAGAGAAGTTCAGTGTAATTTTTATCCTTGTTCCTCTATAGGTAATATAAACCAACAATACAATTCTAAGCCTCCCAGCCGACTGAATGGACTCCTCCTATCAGCCAAGGGGATTCCAAAGTAAACCTGAAAAACTAGTTCAGGCCACGATAGGAAGAGGGGATTGGATATGCCTCATTATACTCTCCTCCCTTAAGTATTCAGGCACAACTGACCCAAATTAACATTGAAACAGAGATCTTAAGACTGATAAAATGAACTCCTTGTAGAAATAAGATACCAAATTCCAACTCATCTCCAGTATTGTATCACATGGCAGATAGCAGACCCTGAAATAAATCAGAGTATTTTACCTCAAAATATATTTCTTTGACATATTTTGAAATGGCCCTGCAAAGTAATCTCTTTTGGGAAAATCTCCTCTTTCCAGGTCTTTTCCTGATCCAGGAGAGATTCGGCTAAGAGTATGGTATCTTTTAAGGTCTGATAAGAGACATTTACCATCTATTCTCCCTGAAGCCCGCTACCTGGAGGCTTCATCTACATAATAAGAACACTGGTCTCCACAATCTCTTATCTAAAGCCAGACACTCCTTTCTACTGATTCCAGATCTTCAGATAATAACTCTTTCAACCAATTGCCAATCAAAAAATCTTTTGAATCCCTCCATGACCTGGAAGCCCTTAATTCAAGTTGTCCCATCTTTCTGGATCAAACAAATGTAAAACTTACATGCATTGATTGATGTTTGCCTGTAACTTCTGTCCCCCTAAAATGTATACAATCAAGCTTTAACCCAACTGCCTTGGGTACATTTTCTCAGGACTTCTTGAGACTGTGACCCAGGCCCTGGTCACTCATATTTGGCTCAGAATAAATCTCTTTATTTTACAGAGTTTGACTCTTTGTTGACAGTAAGGTGGGTTTTTGTTTTTGTATTCTCTGAAATGACAAAGATTTTCTCTTTTATTTTCTACATCTGAATGTATTATGCCTAGATGTAGTTTTTGTTTTTGTTTTTGTTTTTTTTTGGGGGGGGGGTATTTATCCTGTTTTATGTTCTCTGAGCTTCCTGGACCTATGGTTTGCTGTCAATTATTTTGTAAAATCTCCAGTCATTATTACTCCAGGTATTTCTTCCATCTCTCTTTCTTCATCTGGTATTCCCATTATGCATATGATTTGCCTTTTGTAACTGTCCCTATGACTTGGATATTCTGTTCTTTCCCCTGGTGGTCCCTACCTGCTACCCCTAATTTGTCCTTGGTCTTTTTTCTCTCTGCTTTTCAGCTTGGCAAGCTTCTATTGACATATCTTCAAGCTCACTGATTCTTTCCTCAGCTGTGTCCAGTGTATTAATGACCACACCAAAGGCATTCATTTTTGTTATATTTATTTCTGGTATTACCTTTTCTTTCTTAGAGTTTTGGTCTCTCTTCTTACATTACCCGTCTGTTCTTGCATGTTGTCTACTTTTTTCCATTAAAGTCCTTCACATATTAATCATATTTAACTTTCTGCTCTGATAATTCCAGAATCTCTACTATATCTGAGTCTGGTTGTGATGCTTGCCCTGTCTCTTCAGTCTGTGTATTCTGCCTCTTAGTATCGTGTGTGTGTGTGTGTGTGTGTGTGTGTGTGTGTGTATATATATATATATATATAATTTTATTTTTTTTTTTGGAAACAGAGTGTCACTCTGTCACCTAGGCTGGAGTGTAGTAGTGCAATGTAGGCTCACTGCAGCCTCTGCCTCCTGGGTTCCAGCAATTCTCCTGCCTCAGGCTCCTGGGTAGCTGGGATTACAGGCATGTGCCACCCACGCCCAGCTAATTTTTGTATTTTTAGTAGAGACGGGGTTTCACCACATTGGCTAGGCTGGTCTTGAACTCCTGACCTTAGATAATCTGCCCACCTTGGCCTCCCAAAGTACTAGGATTAAAGGATTGAGCCACCGTGCCCAGCCAGAACCCCTTATAATTTTTTGCTGAATACCAGACATGATGTGTCAGGTAAAAGGAACTAAACAGGCCTTCAGCGTGAAGTTTTATGTTTATCTGGCTGGCAGTTAGGTCATATTTGCTGTTTGTTGTAGCTTGGCATCAGAGGCTACAGTTTTCTCCCATGTCCTTGTTTTTTTCTCCCTATCATATTTGGGTTTCCCTAGAGATCCCTTCTTAAATAGGGTCTGAGCCTTGCAGTTATTTTAGCTGTAATCCCATTATCATACCAGAGTCCTACTGCTGTGGTAGTTAAGATGTCAGAGGAGGAAAAGTATTCTACAGTTCTGTGATCAATTTTCAGTCTTTTAATGAGTCTTTTACTTCTGGATTGTGACCTTCACAAGTGCTTCTCAGTTTTTGTTTTTCGTTTTTTTTTTCACCTCTAACATGAGACAGTAAGGTTAGAAGTGGCTGGAATTGGGTATTTCCCTTCTCCCAGGTTGATTAGCCTCTGGTAAAATCTCAGTTGGTTAGGTTCTAGTAGAAGTTTCCCTTGAGGTCAGGCCTTTGTTAAGAACAAAATACTGACATTTAAGAAAGATGTTTCGATCCTGAGCAAGATGGCCGAATAGGAACAGCTCCAGTCTCCAACTCCTGGCACGAGCGACACAGAAGACAGGTGATTTCTGGCATTTTATCTGAGACGGTACGGGTTTCCTTATCGTCACTAGGGGTGCCTGGAATCAGTGCTGGTCGTGACTGTGCGCCGACCAGGAAGACTGAAGCAGGGGAGGCATCGCTCACCTGGGAAGGCACAAGGGGAAGGATCCTTTTCCGTAGCCAGCGGACTGAGGACACACAAACCTCGGAAATTGGGTAAGTCCCACCCAAATTACTGCGGCTCTCCAAGGAATCTTAGCAACACGGGACCAGGAGGACTATATTCCAACCTGGCCGGGAGGGTCCCACGCCACGGAGCCTCCGTCAATTTAGCACAGAGTTGCGATCTTGGGGCAAGGCGCAGCGGCTGGGGGAGCGGGCGCGGCGCCATTGCTGGGAGGCTTACAGTAGATAAACAAAGCCGTGGGAGCTCCGAACCTGGGTGAGCCTACAGCAGCTAAGATTCGTGCCTGTCATCTGTCGACTCCACTCCGGGGACAGGGCACGC